AAAATGACTGCAGCAGTTGTAACCTTCCAGAGTTGCTCTGAAGTGTTACGGCCTCTGTTAAGGCTGTAAAATAAAGCTTATCATCAAACTGGACTTTACAGTTCGTGATACATCTTCCCACGAGTATCTGTAACAACCTGCCCACACCAACACAGTCCCAAAACTCTGCAATTTTTGTTTGAATGAGGCCAAAGTAAAAACTGAAAAACCTTTGTAAATGTTGAGCCTTCTAACTAAATGTTGGAAGGGTTGGAACGTGACATGAGGCTCTTACTGAATGCTTTTATGTGTACAGAGTACAGCCTAGACTAAATTATAAATGGGACTCCTGCAAATTATTAGGATGTGCTGTGGATCATCTGCTGAGTGTCTTGTTTTGATTCCAGCTGAAAACCCAGCTCACCCAGACTCTGTCCAAGCTGGAGACAGAAGAGAATGAGAGGCAAAAGGTGGCTGGTGATCTCTTTAAGGTAAGAATGCTTGTTTGTATTTTTTCAAGCTGCTGATATTGGTCAATCTTTGGACCAGGATGTTTAAAAAAAAAGTGGATTTATTTGGTCTTTAATCCAGGCCCAGCAGTCTCTCGATCTGATCCAGGGGGAACTTTCAAACGTGATGGACAACGCTGACGACCTGATAGAGAACAGCAGTCTGACGTCACAGAGAGTAAGAGTCTGAGGCAGTGTAGCTGCTGTTTAGTGGTGTACTTCTTGGCATATGGTAATGAGGTTGTTACATTGCATCTTCTGTCTCTGACAGGAAGAGATTGACAGAAAGGAGAAAATGACTGCAGGACTGAACCAAACAGTCAGAGAACTGCAGCAGCTGCTACAAGCTGTCAGCCGGCAACTCGCCAAGGGACAGGAAGGGGTGAGTCCTGTTATTCTGCTGTCCTTACAACCTAATGAAAAGATTTAATCTTACCCTCCTGTCTATCCACTTGCAATAGTATTTGACTGTGACACTATCTGCATGTATTATTTTCTACAGGAGGGGGAAAAAGACCTGCCCAAGGTATAGTAGGAGGACGAGAGAAGCCCCCACGCAGCCACCTTGACTGCACTACAGAGACCACCTTTGACCTTCGGTCTCATCACTACCACCATCACACCATACTGTCAGGCCCAGCCACCCACCCTTCCTCAAACTCTTTCTATTACCTCACCTGTACTGAAGGCTGCCTCTGCCTGACTATGGAAAACCACTCCCAGTCCCACAGTTGGCCATAAGGGAGCAGGCAATGGTTACTGTTAACTCCAAACACTCCACACACTGTACCAAAACACACTACTCTGCTCCCACCACATTCCTCTTTTTCAGCAGTATCGCCAGTTCATTTTTATTCTGACATCCAGCATAATTTAATCTGTGTGGCATCCATTCCTCTGTTTAAAAACACCTGTATTTTTCAATGAAATCCTTTTGAAAACTGCTGTAGTTTGTTGTTTATTTGTAAAGAGAGGGCAGGCATACAAATTTCCATCTTGATGAGAACAAATTTTAGGTTTTCTGTCCTTTTTTTTTCTTAACTTCAAAATGTGTATTGTTAAATGTAACAGATAGGACCTGCTGAAATACACCATGTTGTAGATCTGTTTGCCTCCTGACCAGAAAAACGATCAAACTGTGCATTCACAAATTCATAGCTCCATGCATACCATGGCTCAGTATTGGATGGGAGAACGGGGTCAGAAGGGGTCTCAGCATATCAGAAGGGTCACTAAGTGACTGTAACTATGGAGATGCATGGACGAATTAAAGTCGAGTCTATACTGCAGCTCCAGAGGGAAGGGAGTCTGTGACCCTGGCTGTGGAAGTAGAAGGCCAGGTCAACAGTGTTAGGTTTTTAATCCAACTGCAACTACTCTAGGAATAAGCGTCCCATATCATCTGTAATCAACACTTGCTATATTGTTGCAAAGTTCATTAACACTGAACATTTTGTTCTTTTTGTAACAGGTGATGTTAATAAAAGGGATGCTAGATAAATCTGCCCAGTGTCTTGTGTTGATTATTTTTATTCTCTGCACTTCTTTGTCTTGACCACTGGGAGGCAGTGCATGACTTTGTGGGAATTTAAATGGAACCAGATTGTGCACTGATAAATAAAGCTTTTGTTGGCAGGTAAATGTTTTCAACAAAATATTCATGTGACTGCCTTGTACGCCAACATGTTTGTCATGCAGAGGTTTATTTTAGGTATGGGTTTTGTACGATGGAAGACAAAAGCGGGCAGCTTGTATGATGGAAGCTCTAGGGTTTGATGCTATTGCCTCCTCTCCTGCATGACATCAAACAATATTTTCCCATTGGCAGGAAGACATAAAGGGAAGTGAGGATGCAGCTGCTGAAGTACATCAAAAGCTTACCAAGTACAAATCTTAAATGCCAGTAATGTGAAATATAATCACTGATGTGGTTATTTGTTAATGATGTGAGCACTTACAGTGAGTGTTTAATTGTGTTTAACTATCACTACCACCTTTCTATGTTATTCAAAGGATAAATATGTTTATCCTTGTTCATTTTTGCACTTTAAAAGGCCTTTTAAACAACAGGACTGTTGTGTTGGCTTGGTTGGGGTAGGGCGGGGGTCAGGTCAGGGGTGCGGGCAACATGGGATCAGCACATTCCTCAAATTCTCCCACACTGTCATGCTGCAGTCAGCTGATTGGAGATCTGGCTTTTACCTTCATGGAAACCTCGCGGCGAAACAGGCGCCACTATATCTTCAACATACTCGTCAGAAGCTCGATGACAGAGGGAAACGCCTTTTGTAGCTTCCTGCTGGAGGCTGCAGTCGTACCTTATGTACATAGTTCACTGATATGTTGGGATTTCTGATATTCAGTCATGGGTGTAAATGTAATATGCTGCTTACAATACATTTTATAATATGGTGATTTTTTTAAACTGACAGATTTATAAGGAGGAATATCCTGCAGTTCTGACACATTTATCCCATAGAGTTGCCTGATGTGTCATCTTTTGTGGGATGAACAACAAAAGCCTGAAATTAGAGGGAGAAACTGGCCTGAGGTAACACTTTTTCAGACATTTACTGATAGTCTTATGACTTCCATTTAAAAGTCTGACGTGTAAAGCCTGCGAGGAAGTTAATGAGGGCTTTGTCTTTCCTATGTCATCATTGCTCACTGTGTTTAGTCTCAGTTGCGCAATTTAGCTTGTTGCAGTAGGCCTCTGCTCTGCATGCTTCTTGCCTGGTAACATTTGACTCCTCCTCCTAAACATAGATTTGCACTCACAATACGCCAGCGCAACTTTAGCAAAGCAACCCACTCCCTGCATCTGCTCTCCATCAGTGTGGTATGTGCCACGGAGCCTTTGATCCCCACCACCCCCCGAATCTAGTGTGTGTGTGTGCATGCAGGAGGGTGAGTCAGAGAAACACTGAAAAGACTGTAGTGCTCTTTTACACAGACAATGCCCAATGGATGAAAGCAAAACGGAAAGAGACAGTGGCACAAAAGAGCTGTAAACATTCATTATCCCAACAGCTTTAAGGCCAGCCCCAAGGCCTGCAGTTACAGGCCTAATGCAGCCTGATCCTTGTGCACAAATGCTGAAGAAGCTGAAGTTCACTTCACTGTACTATTAATGGACAAGTATGTGCAGCTTAGAACGGAAACAACAAATGCCATGGTTAATCTGACTTGTATTGCTCACAAATACAAAAACAGCACACTGTTTTTTTTGTACTGCAAAGTTGTTTTTTTTTAAGGGCAGGAGGCTGGAATCTTCATGGGCCCCATTGAAACCCCCACTACCTTTTGTTTTTGTGTCAAGTGTTATTGCAGTTTGAAACTTAACACCAGTTCAAACAGAAGGCCATAATTGCAGAGGCAATAGGATCACTGAAGGGGGCAACCCCCAGCTACGGTGGTCCTTGTAAAAACAAGACAGAGGCAATAAAATGTTGATGAGACTGCCAGATGAAGGTGAAGAAGGGACACATTTACCAGAAAGACGTGAGAACAACTGGACATGTGGGATAGGGAGAAGGGGTTACATTTGAGGTTGAGAAGTTCTGGATATCCTCACATGAAGTGTAGACATTTGGTTACAGTCTGTGAGGCATTCTCAGAAAAAGCAATTAAGCAAATGACTAGGTGGCATTATTAGATGGATTCGCATAATCTCACGTGGACCAGGGGACTTATAGGATATTACAGAAATAAATCAGCATAGACCTGTAGGCCTGCAACCAAAGAAAGAGGAAATAAGGAGAAGGTCAACAAAATCAAACAATGTTATTGTGGAAATAAGATTTCCATGCATGCTGATATAGCTTGATGTAGTTAAGTTATATAATCAGTCACATGCAGTTGTTCACTACATTAAGGTCAAAATCAAATACATTTGTTTAGAGGGCCAAGGGGGTGGCAATAAAATAAGTAAATCTAATTTCACCATCCTCTCATTCCTTGCTTCTTATCTCAGTCAGGACATTTACCGGAATGATTACGTCCACCATGGGAGTCCCCTTTTTGCTGATAACCCCATGCTCAACTAGGCCTCTGCAACTTTACAACAAGTAGTCAAAGTTACATATCCTCGCAAGAAATCAGACGTTTTGACACTACGTTGTGTAAATCCCAAAGACTATAAACGATAGGGTAAACCCTTATTTCTGGACACTGGAAACTTTGCAAACCCATCAGGAAAAGTATTATCCCTTTAAGAATCCCCAGATTGTACTCTTTGTTTACATAACACAGGATGCGATCAATGGACCTTGTGAGGGGGCACACATAAATAGTTTTGCTTTAATTACGATGTTTTTATTTGAGAATAAAGCCAATACAAAATCATTTTAACTTTTAAATATATATATAAATCTTTACTAGTATATTAAAAAAAAAATAGCGCAAAAACTCTAGTTTAAACACAGCAATGTTATTGAGTACCCCCTTCACAAAGTAGCGGAACAAGAGAATGGTACATTCCGGCCCTGCTGCTCGCTGTTTTTGTATCTGCTTCAGAGCGGATTCGACCGCCAAGTAAGTTACGGTTTGCTATGTCACGGTAAAGAAGTTTGAAACCACTTTATTTATAGAAAACTGGATAGGTCTGGGCACAGATATATACACCGCTGGACAAATGATATGCAATTAAAGCCTTTCGCGTGTTTCGAAGGCAGCTTCTGGTTATTTTTGAGCCGCTGTTATTACTGTATAGCTAACGTTACACAGTGAAGCCAGAAGCCTCATGTTTTCGTCGAGCCAAGAGGAGCACTGCGCCCCGTCTAAAGACCCAGTGAAATACGGGGAACTGGTGGTGCTCGGGTAAGTTCAGCCCTGCTTGTATATCATTTAAGATAACATTAGTTTATAGGCTATTACACGTTGACTTAAAGCGAGTAGTCATCTTGAGGAAGTTTCCCCAAGAAGGCTCCCACTGAGCTAACTTGGCGACGTGACTGTACTTAATGTTAAGTGTTAAAAATAGATGATGGACCTTTTTAGATGACCGGTTTTTTTTTTTTTTTGACAGAGAGTAACAACGACTTATACTCTGCCAAGTCTCTTGATATTACCTGGAAAAATAACGTCAAGCTAAGATGAGATTCACGCGCTCACGTTACTGCTCTAATCAGACACGTGCGCAGTCAGAAATGTGTACGTTTTAGTTTTTCTGGGATGTTGGTGTTGTTTTATTCCCTCGTGACCAGAGGAATAAACCATAGTCATGCTTGTTTATAGGAACCGATGTCCACCTCATAAATACGTCCGGGACAACTCAAAAACTAGGCGGAAATAAATGCTACTCGGACTAAAGCTCTCGTTCCTACCTTAAGGTGGGATTCATGGGGTTTTAGGAATTCGGAAGTGGTTATGGTCCCCTCCCCCAGTCCCTAGGGTCCCTTTTATTTTCAATACTGTCTCAAGCTACACAACTTTACTTCCGTAGTCACGCACAGAACCTTAAGGCCATGTTTTGTGTTGTTTCCAAGATGCATAAACTATTTGTTGCATACAGCCGGCCTATCCCATCACGCATGGTGGACTTCTTTGTATTCTTTAAATCCCTTTTTTTTTCTATGTTCAGGTAGGGGGGCCTTCACAGTGACCCGGCTTGTGGGGACACATCAAAACGTTTTGCAACGCGATTTCTACCTGTATCGTGATATAATACATGTTTCAATCGGTTTCAATGACAGAAGACGCTGCTGGCTAGTCTAGCAAATCACACACTTGACAGTTCAAGGTACTTAATCAAAGATGCTAAAACACCATTTAAATACTGCTTAATAGATTCAAACCAACTCATTTACAACATTTCAAACAATGACATGTCACATGCACCCATTAGAAAAGAAAAGGAACCCCAGATAAGACTGCATGGAAAGGTCTTATCACATATTCACATGGTACACACTGTTAAAACATGGCTACATCAACCTTTAGTAGTAATCCTAGATCACTGTTCGCGTATTCCAATCACTATTATGTCAAAGAACCTTCTTTGTTGGCAGTGTTTCAATAACAAAAAACTTAGTAATTAAATTTTTGATAAATACAAGAAATGTTTATGGTACATAATGATGAAAAAAGTTCATTAGGGCTGCAATGGAGGCAGATGCCTACTACAACTGTAGAAACCTACATACAAAAATCCAAGGATATTCGTTTTGCAATAAACTGTAACACGGAGAAAGCCGACAACTCTGTTAACTTACACCATTACCCATATTCAGCAGCAGAAATTATGTAAAAAGTGAATAGCTGACTTTCTATGAACACATCAGTTCATGAATTGTTGGTTTCAGATCTACTCTCAGGTGTTGAAGGTTAGCATCAAATAAAAAATGTATCGAAATGATTTTCACAGTTGTATTAAGTCAAAGTTGATGAATTATGTTATGTATTACAACTTTTAACATTCAAGTGCATTGGATTCCTTTATTAAAGAATAAAAGGCTGTTGTAGACCTGAATACTTCTTTTCATTCAAGTTTTAACCGATTTGCCATACTGAAATCATACTGTTAGATTGCAAAATTTCAAACAATACCCTCGCTAATCTGTTAAGGAACAACCCTAGGCAGTTAACATGTTTTATCCTGTCAGTCAGTTAAACCTGGTTGCTGTTTGTATTTTTTGTTAGAACTATTTAAGAAGCACTCTGTGTTTTCCAAGACAATCTGCAGCCAATTATTGTTCTATATGTTTATATTTATTAAGGGCAAAAGCTTCTACCCATAATGAAAACCACCTGCTGTGTCATCAGTTATTGAAGTCTGGCCAGTACTGTGACTCATATGGAAGTTATTTAAGCTTGAAATGAAGCATATCGAGGTGTTAGTGCAGTGAGAATTTTATATACAGTTTGGTTTTGTCCTTTGCCCTCCACCCATCCACTCACTGCCATACTGCTTATTATAAGGGACAAAAAGTGCTGACTGCTTATTACCCTGGGCTGAACATGTGGCGTGTTTGAAGCTGACACTTTTGTTCTCTCTCCTGACATAAAGACACATATTTGAATCAGATGTGACGGGTGTATAATCACTACCATGACATCACATCCCATTGATAAAACTGATGGTAGACAAGATAGCTGACAGCACGGAACAAAGCTTGTTTGAGCAGCAGTTCCCTCCGTGGTTTGTTGTCATGACCGTGGTGGCTCTTATTACTTGCATGGCTGCCCCCCATCTCTGCTCCCTGCCTGGGTGTGTTGGCTTGGTGCTGGTCAGTGAGGGGGGAAGGGGAAGGAGGAGGAGGGATGCTTGGGGATCCTGGAAATGAAAGGAGGGATTGATCAGGACCCAGCCTTTGCTTCTCCTCAGCTTCCTCTGTCCATTGTGGCACAGAGACTAGGCCTATTGACTGAACTCTGTACATTTCTCCATGAAGAACCACTCTGGAAAGGAAGTGTACAAATCAACTTGGGAAAATCTTTGGTACAAACTGACACTGATTCTTGAGATGTGATGCAAGATGAAGAGATATCCTTTTGTGCTCCTCAACTGCACAACAAGGTCAGGGTGGAGCTGGTGCGATGTCTTGTGCAAGGTTATGTTAGTCGGATAAATACTTGGAACCATGGCAGCTTGAATCTGAGTGAGCTGACTTGCATATGGTGATAATAATTGTGTCTCAATTTAGGGGAAGCGTCCTACAAAGGATCCAACCTTGGTTTCCTGTTTAGACCACTCAGGCTGAACTGAAATACGATAGTATGGTTTAGAACTTCCCGTTTGCGTACCAACTTTCTCTGCCCTGAGCCTTTAGTGTCTAGGCCCCGCCCTGTCATCTAGCAACATTGATAGCTGCATTTGAATTGGTGCGCAATGATTAATATGAAGGATACACTTGATGGATCCATCATTGGCGGTGGAAATGTGAGGGATTTGTGGCTGCTCTGGAGCCCTCAAAATGGGATATCCTTCCTCGTCGTTGTTGTGAGTGTGATGTAATCTATATATATATAACAATGTCAGAGTGTAGGCAGAGCCGGTGTACTGTCTTGTGCAAGGTTATATCAGACAGTTGAATTCTTGGAGCCATGACAGCTTGAATCTGAGTCAGCGGACTGCTAGCTGCTGTGTGTGTAGTGAATATAGCCTGTAGATTCACTTTGCAGCATCTGTAACCTCTGTGACCCTTTAAGGCCACCATGCCTCTGTGTCATGCTAATGTTGGTAATAACAACTCAGCATATCACCTCGGCATTCTGAGAACACTAGCCTTTCATGTTAACAGGAGAGGTAGGAGGTGCTGTTGGCTGCTGAGTGCAGCCCCGGAATAGGTTATCTGCCACAGTCTTTTAGTTCTTGCTTGTAAGTATTAAAGTAAATGTGCTGTTGGTCTGGCACAGGTCAAAAGGGAAAGTTATCACAATTAGTTGGAGAGAGGCTTTACAGAGCCTGTCCTAACTAAGGGGATGTTCAGGGCTCAGAGGACCCACAAAATATTGGTTCTTAACCTATTGATGGACTAAATATGCCATTAGTGCTGGGCACTTCATCGAGTTTCAATTAGGATTTTGGCCTCCTACGATCATGAAAACAAGATGATCAAGATTAGATGAGAACTGTGCCACATGCCGTGTTGTGCTAGTTTTCTCTATCAGTGTTTCCCCTACCATTATATTGGGTGGTAAATGTTTCAAAGTGTTACAGAGTACATTACCTCAAGCTCAAAAACATAGTACATGTATGTATTAGTTTTATCTGTTTGTATTTTGTCACTTATTTATTTTTATTTATAGTTTGTTTTTCAAAGTGTTCAGACTGTTTAAGTTTGATAAATGCATGTGATGGAGAGGTTGTAAGGTCGATGAGTAATTATGTTTGATAATCATTATCTCTTAAAAATAATGGTGATGATGATTTTTGCCATAATCGAGCAGCCCTATAAGACATGTGTGGCATTATTTTGAAACTGTGAGGGTTATATTTTGCATCTAGACTGCATGTTGGCATGGTAATAAGCTGCATATCATGTCATATTTAGAAATCTGAACAGAATGTGGGCCTAACTTCTCTTTTTTTGGGGGGGGGAGTTTCCAGGACAGATTAAATTTGAGGATAGTCATCTCACTCTTTTATTATCTTAAAATAGTGAGTTTTTTTTCTAATTTAATCCCATCAATACCTTAAAACAAATATACAGTATATCCACAATTATTTGTAAAATATTTCCTCCTGCTGTCAGTGTATTAGTTGTAGTTTTGTCCAATATATCCTCCCGAGCCTCTCTAGCTCTCTATGGGTGGCTTGTCCTACAGGCCAGCCTTGTCCAATGTGCTGACTGGGACCATGTGTTTTCATGCCTGGCCGACCGTGTGGAGACATGGGACAGGTGGAATAGCTTTGGATGGTGGTAGAGAGGAGCAGAAAGAGCTTCTTGTTGCTACTGTTTCATTTGTGCTGCACCTAAGAGAAGATTTTGCTGTGGTTTGTGGTTGCTCGTGATTTGTAGTGTTATGCAAAGTCGTGAAGCTGCTGATGGGAGTTATTTCCTCTGTGCTAAGTGTCCGCTCAGCACACTGCGGATACATGGAAGTGGGTGACAGAAGGTCTATGTGTTGGATGGGAGTAGAGCATGGGGTGTCCCAGCTGTAGGAACCAGCTGGTGGACAGGGAGAGGACCAGTCCTACCGGAAGGGGTTTCTTCATTCACAAGGAGCTGCACAGACCACGTCCCTCACAGACTGTTATCTCAATCCCCTGAGAGAGGGAACGCTCCTCTGCTTTTGCTAGGCTTTAAATATTTTATCTTAGAACTTTGTGTATCGATGTACAAAAATCAGCCGTGAGAGGAGAATGTGCTCGAGTCATGTGAGCCAAACCTGACGTGCATCTTAAAATCTGCTCTTGCCGAGGACACAGAGCAAAAGAACAGCTGCAGTTTACACAGACTTTGTTCACTGAAATCACAAGTACCAGGGAGTATTATGTAATAAGAGACAGTATCCAAGGTAACACTAACATTGCTTATGTTGTGCATTAGATTGCTAGCAATGTAATGTAGACAAAGCTCCTTTACAAAAACGAATGTACTTATTATGTGATAGAAATAATGTCCTTTTAATCTCATCCGACACATCTGACTGCAGCTACAAAACAAGTTTGCCTTTTCATTAAAATGTGTTTTCTCTCTTTGACAGGTACAATGGCTCTCTGCCCAACGGAGATAGGGGTAGAAGGAAAAGCAGGTTTGCGCTATACAGGAGGACCAAAGCCAATGGCGTCAAACCAAGCACTGTGCATATCCTCAACACACCACAGGCAAGCAAGGTAATGTATATTAAATGTAAAAAAAAATGTACAATACATATAAACGTTAGTGAATAAATAGGGCAGAGCTCGGGGAATAATAATGTCAATAATCTTTAGAATTTTGGAATGAACTCAACTTGAAAGTATTGAAAGGAAAATGAAAATCTTTCTCAGAATAGAAGAATGTTCTTTCCCCCAGTGCTTTCAGTAGCTTATGGAGTGTGCAGTTAACTCCTTTACATTGCTTTTGGCAGGCCCAAATGTTGACTTTCCAGTACAATTACTGTAGCCGGCCTCATAGCTTTTCTTTGCACAGGAGTGTCTGCCAGAAAGTGCCCTTTCGAGTATAACATGTCTGCCTTCCTGCATTCCTGCCTTTGGTTCCCAAGCAAAACTGCTAAACAAGCTAAAGGACTTACTGCTTACTGCTGCACCTCTTTGAGGCCAATATTTCTGACTCTTGTCAAGAGTTTAGTTCAATTGGCCGGAAGGCCCTCTGGTTCAAGTTACTCTCACCTTATGGAACTTGATTCCTGATATCTGCTTGGAGGCTCTTCCGCGAAAGAGGCTTTTCCTTTGCAGAGATTTTGCATCTTTGTAGATTACATTTGAGTTTAATTTTGTGCAGCATGTGAACTATGGCAAAATGTTTCTGTTGAATTAAACTACAGGCTGTTTCTCAAATAGTTTGATGAGAAGCATTAGACATGGCTTTTTTACTGCACAGCTCAGCTAAGCACAGTATGCCATTTTAAAAATTAGTCAGAGGCTGTTTCAGAAATGGGAACTTTTGTTGTCTTCTTCCCCTTTCTCCTCTCTGCCATCCAATAACCAGGCCTTGGATTAGGAGGGTAAACTGAGGAAGCTGTCGTTCCAGTTGCCTGGCCCTTACTCCCAGCTGTAAACAAGGTCAAAAATAGCCATTCCTTAGAGACGAGCAGTGTAGTGATCTTAATTTAAAGGGAGCCATCTTTTTTAGTAAGCAGTAAAGTGAGCCCAGCCACTTCCGCCTTTTTCTCTAGTATTTTTCTTTTCAGCCTGCTCCATCTCCCACACAGTGTAACAGTGTCGTACAGATGAACTGAGACTGCTCTGTGGCTCAGATGCTGAGCGGGGAGGCTCACGTGTCTGTGCACACGCTGGTGTTCATGACAGATAATGTAAAGCTCCCATGATGCCACTGCTTACCTTCTACTGAAATCATGCGTCTGCTTTCTCATGTCCTTGCTTGATCTCAATCATTGCATGTGTTCATGTGTTATGGTTAACACTGACCTTCCGTACGAGGGGGTCAGATGGCTTTATTTTTATTTCCTGCAAGTGAAGGGAGGGGTTTGTGGCATTTTGGGTGTGTGTGGGGTTCTGCTTATAATAAAACATGTTCATGTTTTTCAGCGTGTATGAAGTTCTATAGCGGTTGAACAGGTGGAGCGCCATTTGTTTGTAGCGGCGCAGTCGAGACAAGACTGCATGTGATGATGACATTTGTCCCCGTCTGTCTGAGGTTACAGCAGAGTGTGGCAGTGCTGATGACCCACTTTCTCTCCCCCTCTCGCACGTGACAAAGGGAGAGGAGTGGGGGGCATGTTTGGGAAATGGAATTCGCAGATTAGAGCCGGATGATAGTGGCATGTGGTAAAATGTTGATGGGAGCTGGGTCTGACTGGCTTTAACCCATCGTCTCTCACTGCACCGACTGAGGCAGTTCAGCTGGTGGGCGAGCTCGTGTTAACTGCGGCCAGCGGGCAATTTATGGTCACTTGTCATGGGACTGTGAATTAAAATGCAGCTCCTCTACCACTTATTCCTGCCACAGATCTTTTAAGGTAGTATAGAAGAAATATTCTTACTTCAATTTCTGCTGTGAAAAAGTATCTATCTAATTAAAAAATTACAGAACAATTTTTGTGTTGTTTGTTTGTATCCTTCCACAGCTATGGATTAGTTCTGTTCAAAAACCTATCACAACATGAAGTGTGTGTTAATGGCTTGTTTATGTGTATATTTCAGGCTGTGAACTGTAAGGGCCAACACAGCATATCCTACACACTGTCCCGGAACCAGACAGTAGTGGTGGAGTACTGCCATGATAAAGACACAGACATGTTTCAGGTAAAAAACGAAAAAGCTTTCAGTTCAATTCTTTAGGCCAGCTGTTGTATTCCTTTCTTATGAGTAGGGCTAGTAGAACTATTTCCTAACAAACTACTTTTATTATTCATCCATTTAAACAACTGGAGCACAGTTATTTTTGTAAATATAATATTTACATTTTTCTGATATGGTGCTTCGAAGAAGAATATCAAAACATTTTAATAAGATGAAGGAAGCAAGTGTTTGGTGTTTTTCTTGAAAGATAACTTCTTACACTCCATCAAAGAGTTGTGGTCTGTTTACTGTTCTGTCTTTTACATAAATATTATTGGTAGATTATGACCATAGGAAATTTAGAATCACACATTTAACACAATATTGTGTCTGTTTGTCTGAGAACAGAACAACTGCACAAACATACAGAGAATTGGAAACCATCCAAAAAACAGGACTTTTGGACAATTTGAGACAAAAAAAAAGAGGAACTGAAAAAGGGAAATGCTTATTTTTACCTCTTGTTTGTTCAGCTTGAGAACAGCTTGGACATTTTTAGCATGATCTCTATGGACTGCTTAATAATAAATCAGAAGTTTTTTTTTTTAGTTTTTTTTTTTTTTGCAGGAAAATGTGTTGTGCCTCAGCATTGTTACCACACACAAATGCAGACAAACACACATAGACACACACTGCTAAATGTCAAACTGCCCCAAACTTGAAACAGGCCAAACTGGCTGGGAAACAGTCAAAGGTTTAAATATCTGCAGGGCTTTCTAAAGTGCCAGAGGGTTGTCAATACATTCCAAGAAGCTGTAAAATAATGTAGCAGGAAATTGATTAATAACTGATTTGTTTTGTAGATTGGGCGGTCCACTGAGAGTCCCATAGACTTTGTGGTGACGGACACTATAGCAGGAGGCCAGGACGGAGAGGAGACTCCCATCACACAGAGTACCATCTCCCGTTTCGCCTGCAGAGTCGTCTGTGAGCGCACCCCGCCCTTCACTGCTCGCATCTACGCAGCTGGTTTCGACTCTTCCAAAAACATCTTCCTTGGGGTAATTACTATTTAACGGACCATGGTAGACAAACACTATCTTTGCTTAACCTGCTATCTCACACAGGATATCCAGCTTAGGTCTTAACATCTTTAAGTTGGATAGACAAATACAAATTCTTGTATGACCAGTGTTGTTTAAAAATTCACTTTGCATCCACATACTGTTTCACCTCCAGGAAAAAGCTGCTAAATGGAAGAACCCTGATGGTCACATGGACGGACTTACAACTAATGGTGTGCTGGTAATGCATCCTAGAGGTGGCTTCACGGAAGAGTCAAAGCCTGGTGTCTGGAGAGAGATCTCTGTATGTGGGGATGTTTACACACTGAGAGAGACGCGCTCAGCACAGTGCCCCGGAAAACTGGTCAGTAGCTTCATTCAAACAATAGCAAACGTGTCAGAGGGGTTCTAGTTTTTGCTTGTTTTCTAAATATGGACACACATGTAATACTGTGACATCAATTGCATTAGCAAAGAAGCTAAATGTGCATCTGCTTCATTTGCAGGTTGAGAATGAGAATAACATACTGCTGGATGGCTCACTGGTGGATCTATGCGGAGCCACTTTGCTGTGGCGCACTGCTGAAGGCCTCTTCCACACTCCCACCCAAAAGCATCTGGAGGCTCTCAGACAGGAGATAAACGCAGCACGGCCTCAGTGCCCTGTAGGTCTCAACACCCTCGCCTTCCCCAGCATGCAACGCAGCCGTGCCCTTTCTTCTCTGGAGGACAAGCAGCCTTGGGTCTACCTGGCCTGCGGTCATGTGCATGGCTACCACAACTGGGGCCACCGCTCAGAGCAGGAGGCCAACGCCCAGCGAGAGTGTCCCATGTGTCGGGTGGTCGGGCCATATGTGCCGCTGTGGCTGGGTTGTGAGGCGGCCTTTTACGTGGACACCGGAGCACCCACACACGCCTTTGTGCCATGTGGACACGTGTGTTCGGAAAAGTCGGTCAAGTACTGGGCGGAGATCCCCCTGCCCCACGGCACCCACGCCTTCCACGCTGCCTGCCCTTTCTGTGCCACGCAGCTCAGTCTGACTCAGGGCTGTTCCAAGTTGATCTTCCAAGGCCCGGTGGACTGAGCTGAAGGGTCTCGCTCCAGCAGATCAGACAGGAATGCCAACACGCTGTGAAACTGTTTGGATTATTTTGTGATTTATTTTGTTCATGTGAGTCAGCTGTGGACAGGAGCAAGTTCTGTTCATATACTGTGGATTCTGCACAACAGGGAGACATTACAGGTTGTTCAGGGCCAATTGTGGCTGTTTGATGGCCTCTGTGGGCTACAGAGATGTTGGACACACAGGACCAAAGAAACCTGGCTCCTCTGGAATGAAATACTATTTTATTCTGTTTTGCCACCCTACTGCTTTTAACAAGGCTGCAGCACTGGGATGTTCTGAACTACAATGGCTGCTTGGTTTGCATCACAACTCTGCAGAAAAGGAATTCATTGTTTGTTCCCCTGAATCAGACGGAAACAGAAAACATTGAGCCGGTTTTGTTGGTTCTGTTCGGAATGAAAAGGGGACGGAGGGTTTGTTGTTGAAATACTGGTTGGCCTGAGTCTTTGCAGAGCCAGACAGCTGGACTGTTGGCTGGGAGAAAGGACAGGAGAAAGTCGGGGTCAAAGTGTTCCCCCTTCACCCTCCCACTGTGAAACCCTGATAACTCCTGGTTTGTGCAGCTCTCTGGTTTTGGCTTCAATTTTTTGAACAAACTCTGAGGAGGGTCAAAGACTTATTGTGTATAGAGATACGAAGAGATATTATCCAGTGCCTCAAATCCCATTAAACTGTGGGAGTGTTTCCTTGAATGAGTAAAGATATTTTGAAAGGCAAAGGGAGAGATAGTTTTGCATCCTTAAGACATCCCACACAGATTCTTCTTCACATTTTTTACCCAACAGAAGACATATTTTACTACAGTGAGGCCCTTGTACTGTTTTGTAATGCAAATGTTAATATATTTTTCTCCTGAAAACACAATATGTAAGGATGTTTAGGAGTGTGTGCATTATTGTATGATTGTGTGTGTGTATGTGTGTGGGGTGGATTTTGTTGGTGCCCTCAGGCTTTGTTAAAATTGCCCTGCATCATTTCACCCTCAACACCTTTTTATGATCGCGCCACCCACCAAAAAGAAACGGCTACCAGGGAGAACACAGAAATCAAAGCGACCTTGTAGGGTTTGACAGTGAATGTGCTGATACACATTGGCTCTCCTTACTGGTGGTGCTTCAGTTATACAACTTTCTTTCTAAATGGCTGTGCTGTTAAAGATTTGAGATAGAACACTTTGGAAACTGTGTTATGAGTCAACCGCACCTGCGTGCTAGTTCAGAGGCTAGCTGTGTCCCTTCCCCACACACATGTACTGTTTTAAATCTGCACTGCTGTTAGCTTTATCCCACGCTAGGTCTGATCCAATGATTTCTCCGCTGTCAGACCTGGGCACAGTCTCACAAGCATCCAGAGATTATACCAAATATAAGGAGGGAGCAGTTTTCTCTCCACACAAGAGATGTAAGGTCCACTTTTTCCGATCCAAAGTGTTTCTGTAAACAATCCTAAACCCAAACTGCTGCTACGGTGGAATGGTGACAGCTCTGGATTACGGACGAGGCTGATTGCAACCAGCAGCATGGGAATAATGACATTTTTGCACACCATGCCAAATTTAGTAAATTCTATTGTGTGTGGATGAGTCAAGTTGTCCAAAACAAAGCAGCAGATGAACTGAAACTAAAGAATCTGGGACGAATCTGTGCATTCTTCTGTGATGTTAGCTTAGCAGGCTGTGCCCATATGTAAGGGGTAGTTGAAGGCATTAATCCTGCCACTAGCTTTTGAAATATATTGAGCATTAAATTATGGGATGTTGAGGCTATTGTTTTTAAGATGTTCAAATTTTCTTCAGGGTTGCATTAATATTATTACGTTTGAGGGGAAAGATCACCTTGATTTAAGGCTCCTCGACTGTCGGAGCATTTTTCTGATTCAGTTCCTTCCTAAGAGAAACATACCTAGCATTCTTACAGGCATCAGCAGCATTATGCTTCACTCCAAGCACAGTGCATTTCTGGATGGCTTGTTTTCTTCAAGTTTTATGTAACTGCCAAGCAGGGTCAAGTACTAAGCCACATAATGTACAGTAGCATTCCTCCTAAACACTATGAGCTCCAACACTGTGCCCGTTTGCTTTAGACCATGTTCTGTAACAGCTGCGGAGTAGCTGCCTCAAACATTCCTCCTCGGTAAACATGGGTGGGGCCCTCAGTTCACCCAAGGGCTTGTTCTATGATTTTGTCTCTTACAGGCACTCTGTACACAAGCCATAGAATGCACTGATGCTCCCAATGTCTCCTTTGCAAAGAATAAAAATATTTTTTAAAAATAAACAACTGAGTAGGTTGTCTCTCTGATTTTAGGCCTTCGTAAAATGTGACAGCCATGAAAAGTTTAAGATTTCGTCCTTTTTGTGAGGCTTCTCCTTTTGAACTCAAGATGTTTCAGCTGTGTACACGCCACACAGCAGTCATGTTAAGTTACATGTGTGTTTCATCATTCCTCAGTCTGCTTGATCGCCAAACTTGCTCTTTGTTTTGATAGCTCTATCAAACACACTATTTTACAAGATAAGGAACACATTTTTCTTGAAGTCTTATTTTACATGCATTTCATGTTATGTCTTATCAGTTACATCCTAATATTTACCATAGAAAATGTAATAGCATGAGCCGCTATACTCGGCGTAGTTCCCTCTGAAGCCACAAGAGGGAACTGTTTCCCTGACAATAGATATGTTGGCATGAAGGCCTTGAATCACTGAGCCTGCAGCATCAATAGTCAGAACCAAAGCAATGATATATAAGTTTGATGTTTCTTGTAAAAAAAAGGCTCAGTGTTAATACATCACACATGTATTTGATACAAGACAAATTAAATTACACAAATTAACATGCCTATTGATGCCTGGAAATCCTCTATTTTTGTAATTACACTGCCAAAGGGAATGTACATTTCCTATATTTTTAAGGTTGTACATTCATTGATTAATCTTTAACATCCACATTTGTTTACGTTACATTTCTACAAATTAATTATTCATTTTTTTAGATTCATTTTAGATTTAAATCCCGGCATCAAACAGGGCTGACAAATAATCACAGTTGTGAGCAGTTTTTAGCTTTTATTTTTGTGTGCGTGCAAAAATATTGTACAATACTGATGATGATGACATTTTCCATCACTCTCATGTGACTTCTTCTCCTCTATAATAAGGGCACATGAAAGGGATTTAAATACATAACATGTCAGTTAGGCGTTTTGAGAGGAATGGAGCCGTGGGATGCCTTGCTTCCTAATTAACATTTCTGCTGTAGATGTGCGCTGGGTTCATATGTCTGCACACTTGCCTGTTTTTCTGAATGACAGAAGAGACACTGAAGGTGACAGCATGCTAATTTTAAGATCACTCAGTGGCTCCCCTGCCTTAAGCAGGGCAGGGTTATGCAAATAGAAGTGGAATGATACAATATTTTTTTTCTTGAGCCAGCTTCCTGGATGAGGAAGTGAGGTTCATGTGTTATATTGACGCAGGACTCTGTTAAAAGATTGACACAAACCTCGGTATTCTAGCATAACCTTTTTGAAACATAATTAACTTCTACCACTTCTCACAGCCATGTGCCTCATATTACAGGAACGTCATTTCCAGTTGTATATAATGTACAAAATCTTCCTCTATGAAAAGCTAATACACTTTATACATAAACTAAAACTTCACATGTTATTCATTTCATCAGAATGGATTTGAAAAATGGTGCAGAAGACACATTATTAGTCTAACAGTGTTGAGAGAGAAGGTATGTCTATGATTACAACAAATAAAACAATGATGATGAGATACTTAAATGCAATGTAATATTGCATCTCTATAAAGTTGGAGGAACCCAGAAAAGACAGATTCTGAGATATCCTTATTTTTCGTCTAGACTGGTTACATCTCACAAGCACCAGATCCTTCATTTCCTTTCATTCGATTGTCTTGGATGATGACAATCATCACTTTTGTTTTGAAATAACCTCCACCCAGAGCCTCACAATACAGCATAGAAAGCTGGGTGATGATCTCCATCAGAAGAGTAAACTTGTGTGAATTAGTAGAATGACCTTTAAGGGAAAGCCACAAAAAGGAAGAGAAAACAGCTCAATGCATATCTTTATTTAAAAAGCAATGGTTTCAATACTGTTGCTTTCTCCAGTTTGATACTGCTTATATATCCTCCATGACAGCTCGTCAAATTCAGTCCACTCTTTAGGTTCTTTTTAACCTTGAAAACTAACATTTGAACTGCATAATCGTAAAGAGATATCAAGCATTTTTTGTTAGCACATTTGACATAAGAGTGTTTCATCTGACTCCAGCTAGAAATGACAGAAACCTACTGAAACAGAGCAGAATGTTTTCTGTATGCTTTAAAGTTCTTTGTCTGTGACGTTTCTCCACAAAGAGACCTCACATATAAAATGCCACAGGTGGCTGCAGGCTGTGCGCCAAGCGATCAGCAGGACACAATAACTCACGAGTTACAAGTTAGAGGATGTACCAAAGACCTTATTAACCCAATATACTGAGTGAATGATATGCAAAGTACTATTCTCCTTGTGTTAATTAAGTAACAACACCTACATCCTTCAGATGCAAACATGGGACACATACAGTATGTCTTACAATACACCTGGCAGACATGGTTTTATTTTTAATGAATCTTAAGAGAAATTGGAGTACCATTGCCATTTTGATGCCTTACTATTTATGTCCTGTGTGGTTATTTGCCAGAGATGAACATTTATTTGTATTATTTTTTTTACCTTCCTTTGTCCCAAGGTCCAACATCTCACACAAGACACTCACTCTGTCTTCTGAAAAGATCTCATCAAACACATTACCTGTTTTGTATTTTCTTTGGTTTAGCTCTCCATTAACATTATAATGGTAATGTTATTCAGTTATAGCTATATCTAATGCAGTTTGAGGAGGATTATGATGAGATCATCAGGTCTATTTGCTGTTTCATGTGTTTCATGTATCTTGATGATACTTTGCACTCTACCTACTCAGCTTATTACTTTCCCATGAATACCAAATGGGTTGTTGAATAAAAGGCAAATAAAAATATGCTAAAGAGAAGCCGATACAGATATTTTATTGGAACCTATGAAGGAAAAGTAGGTTTGAAAAATCAAGCATTAAATGCAAACATTATGAGTGCACCGCTTTGAGCCTCTGATGCCCTCTTTTCCTCATACTGAGGCCCATGTTGCGTCTTGCCTGCTCATCCAAACAGGGGGACAAATGACTTTAATTATGGAGTAATTGCAGAGTCTTGTGTTAATTAAATCTTTATCAGTTCAAGTAAGTGGATTTCTCCCACATGGAAACCACGCAGAGAAGTGCTGTCGTGCCCGTAACGCCTCCCTCCTTACTGCTCTGTCTCAATTTTTCTCTAACAACACAGTGAGACCATCTTTCAACCCCCCCCCCCTCTCACCCCTGGGTGTCACACTAAAATGATTAGGATTAAAGTCACTCATGGAAGGGGCTTGTTTAACTAACTCTGTCAGTAGCCAGCTGTTTCCTTAAAAATACCATAACAAACGTGATAGCAGCGGCATAAGGGGAGTGTCCTCCACTGGAAAATGAGATACCAGATTTATCTCAGGTTCCTGGTGTTTGACAAAATTGAATCCTCTCATTTTAATTGCTCTCGACGAGGTGTGCTGCTGCAGGCCATGCAAACAGCAGCTCTGTATGTTGTCCCCTTGTTCTCCTCAGACTATTATGTTCCATTGTGCAAAATGCCGATTATGACTTTCTTTATCCTTGTCATCTATCTTATTTAGGATCATTTAGGTAGCCACATGTTACAAAGGAACAGCGGTCGACCCTGTTATTACGTGTGTTTGAGTCCCCTGCTTCCTGTAATGAGAACAGGATCACAGAGGAGCATTAATCTCTCTGAAGACTTGTCCACTGCATGGTTCAAGGCCTCACAGCACTTTATGGAAAATGCAGAAAAATGGACTCGTTTTGTTGACTTTATATCTCAGGTTTGGAATAATGAAACAAACAGACAACAAAACATCATGTGCAGGTTTTTTATTTTAAATTATGACTACAAAACCACAACATGTTAGGATACCATCTAATCCCTTTCTATTGGAAGATAGGGATTAAAGGCTATCTATCTATGTCGATGATAACCAACTTACTTTATTATCTACCATACATTTACCATTACGCTAAAAAGACCAAATGGTCATTATGCAAATGAAGTTAAATGATAACCTTTAACATGTACAACATTATATTTGGCCTAAGTGTGTGATGTGTTTAGAGTAATTAAATACCAGAATCAGAATATCCTCTGTTACCGCCTCAAATACACTAACAGGCATAGGCTTGTGAACAAGTGAATGCACCATTCCAGCAACGTAATTTTTAGCTCCTACTCTAAAAATAAGCCTAATTGTTGCTTTTACTCTAAAGCAGAAACATGATTGATTTATTATGAATATCATTTAGCAACTGAGCTGCAAAAAATGAACATTTCAGGCTTGCAGGCATTAGTGTTTGAAAAGTTGGAATATGTCTGCTATAACTGTTTCCAATCATTTCAAGGTTGTATTTATTTTAAATTTAAGTCAAGTACACCTGGTGTTGGAAAGATAACGCACACATGACACCAGCAGGGGCTATATCCAAGCTGGGGCTAATGTTAGCATAGCTCTTTCCTGGTGCTTAGCTTGTTTTAAGGCAAGGATCCCTTCAGTGTGCTTAGCCAGGCCGTACAACAACTGTCAATGTTGCAGGTAATACATAATGTGGTCTTGTGAACAAATGAAAAACAATAATAGGTATGTTTTCTTTTTGGCTTTAGAATCAGAAGGCTACTCGGTGTTGGCCACTATTTCAAAGTATACTGGAATCAGTATCTGGAAGGAAGAAACTGTATCTGAACTCTAATATTGCAAGTAGTAGTTGATTTTTTAGTTGGTGGACCCTCTCAGTGAGCTGCTGTTTTGTGAGAATGTTTATGGGACCATGAATGGGTGTAATATGTCTGTGCAGCAGATTGAAAAGGGGCTTAACTGGATTACACCTCATTTCAAGGATGCTTAAGGTAAGATTAAAACAGATATGTGGTGAATGAGGAAAATACAAAATCATACAGATTGAATTTCACTCAGTGGTCTTAAAAGCCACTTGCTCATGCATGACACTTCTGTGTGTGTGTTTGTGTAATGACACTGAGGTTAAATCAGAAACAATCACATGGGCCTTATATGAGACAGTATGTAGATGGTGTTTTAAAAAAAGGGTTAAGCAGAGGAAACATGTGCACAGTTAAAAAAAAAATGTTTTGCTCTGTTGGACCGTCACAATTCACCATTAATGCCCTTTCTTATCTCATGCTACAAAATCCCCAGAGCTGGAACATTAGATGTCTCTAATCACACACATTGGCATACAATTGAGTGTGTGAATATGCACTCTAGCACCCAACACACACACACCCACACACACACACATATGCATTGAAAGAAAATCACATAAACAAGTAGAATCTGTAAAGATAATACATTTAATACCACTGCTATTAAAGTCAACTAATGTCTGTTAATAGCATGTTGCCATATGGAACTACATATGGATAACTCCACTGTTTGGACAAGCTGCCAGTAAAAGGCCTTACATTTTGGGGCAAAGGGTGGGGTGCATGTGGGGGTGGGGGTGGGGGGGAGAAGTTAACCCACCACAATCTCTAATGATTCTCCTGCCTCCAAATTGGGAGATCCAGGCCTCCGCAGACATGTTTTATCCTTCCAATCAGAGGTGAAATGTGTTTATATACAGTACATGGAAAGGAAGTGGTGGTTTCAACAGAAAATATTTCATGAAGTGCCCGATTACCCCCCATCCTCCCCAAATTCACTCCATCTTCCCCCCAAACATCCCCCTCTGGCAGCACTGCAGCCCAGCGGATAACCAAGCGTGGATTAGCGATGACATCACACTGAAGAGATGGCTGAGCCCGAGAGTGAGGAAGGGTGAGTACTTGTGTGTGTGTGTGTGTGTGTGTGTGTGTGTGTCGGATGGGTGTGAGCGTTATGTGTGTGTTCAGGACTGATTAGACGATGAGGGTGGTGGTGAGAGGGAAGCGAGGATTAGAGAGCCATCCGAGAGTTGCCTAGGTGCTGACACCACTCCACCTCACCGAGGGCTCAATTTACTGAGGGATCAGACTCATTTATGGTTGGGCTGGGATTATTATCAGTTCAGTAGGGCAATTTCTTTTTAACAGTCACCCCTTAACCTGTGAAATATGGACACTTGTGAGACATTTATGGGTACATTTATCTTGTTTCAGGTATAATCTGGTGCTTTTGTTCGACAATTAAATGTGTATTAGCAGCTTTGAGAAGCATGATAATGATTGAAAAAGTACTACAAGACTCTTTAACAAATAACTGCCTTTTTTGGATTTTGGAAAAGGCTGGTCATATCTCACCTGCATATATGGCATATGCTCACAACTCTATCTACCTGGACCTATACTTTTATTTTGTATCCACTCAAAGAAATGCTACAAATATATTTTTAATAACCAGATTTTTTTCTAGTTTTGGCGGCTCTTTGTTTATCGATATCAATTTAAGAAAGAAATGTGGGGGATGTGTCATATTTCAATTATAATAAAACCCTATTTAAAAAATAAAAAGAAGAGGCTTGTCACAATATAAGATCCATTAAAACTTCTTCGAATTAAAACTCAACTCCAGGGAGTTTATATAGTTATTATATAATAAAATAAATATGGTGTGGAGATTTTTTAAAGGACTCCAAATGGCATAAAACAGTCAATGTTACCACTCTTAAGAGGACCCGTATTCCCCCCTGAAATGCATTGATAACACTTGGACAGTGCAGGAAGCTGAGAAAACAGGAAGCTGAGAAAACAGGTTTAGGCTGCATCTACAACCAGGGAAAAGAAATGAACAGAAAAACGTAAAGGAAGTGTATGTTTGAGTCATCTTTGTCTTGTGAGAGAACTATTGTGCAATGGTTGAAGACTGCAAAGCTGTTCACAATTTACACAGCCTATAGGCCTACACATATGAGCAAATACGTATCCAAGATGAAACACATAGCCTACATTTTTTATTTTGTTTAAGAGGGATTTCTTGATCTTGAAAAAAGCTTTTTTTAAACAAAAGACAAGATTTTAATCTCAAGAAGGCTGACTGTCCATATTAAACCACACACAAAAAACACAGACATATTTCAGAAAAATTACAGGAGACAAATACACTGGCTGAATTGTTTATAATTCCAACATATACAGCACTTGAGGTGTTTGTGCAGACAAAATAGGTTCTGACACTCCCTCTGTGAACCTTTCATTGTAAAGGCTCAGAGTAACAGAGACCTAGACAACACAGCTACAACAACAACAACAACAACAACAAAAGTAAACACCGCAGCAACTAAATAAAAGTTATTACCATTACCACACAACTCACAACTACTGTATGACATAATGTAACGTGTATGGTATGAATCAGTGCTTCTCTACAGCACTGGTATGAATGGTACGTCGGGAAATATCGCGAGATTTGTAGATCGGCGAGAACAGGCTGTTTCTTCCCGGGAACAGGGACGTTTCAAATTGTCTGCCCACTTTTTTCAAAGCAAAGTGTTAACTTCGTGTCGTTTCAATTCAATTGTAGCTCTAGACTTTCTTCGGTTTTCAGGAAACTGGAAGCTAAACGTTTACACTCAACTCGCGGTCCCCATCGCCTGAATTCTACGGATGCTAACGGGAGCTAGCTTGCTGCTGAATTAGCAGTTGTTTGAAAACTATCGGGTTTTTGTCCGGAAAGAAGAATGTCGGAGGAGCAGAGGACAAGCTGGATACTGACATGCGCTACGATCACTTGTGTCGTCGCTTTATATGTCCCCTGTGTGCAGAAGACTGTTCCCGGTGGAGACTCAGGTTGGTTTTAGCCTGCTAGCTAATGCTTCTCTTCTGGTCATGTGACTTTGTTGTGTTACAGGTCAGCCAATCAGAGAGCGCCTTGTTTCTGCTGCAGCTGAACTGTTGCTGTCAGAAGTGCTGCAGGTACAGGTGCATAAACCAAAACATGTGCCAACTTCTGAAACCTCAGTGTGTAAGACATTTAAATCTAAGGTAAATCTTTAATAGCTTTCAATTGTAAACACAGAAAACAATTGAGATAATGTCTTCTAAACAAACATATCTTGATAAGTAAAATATATAAGGGAATTGTTGGATCAGGTTCAATCAGAATAATGTGGATACCACACCAAAATACCCTTGTTCCACGATATTTCCATTTTAGGGATCTCTTAGATTTATAAGTTTGGTGTTATTTTGGATCCTTGTCCATTGTCTTCATTTGTTAAATTTCCTAAACTACTAGGATTATGAATGTTATACTGCAGATTAGATTTGAAGGTCTAAACTTGTTAGTTAGGACTTCAGTGCATTTGATCTGATCGCGGTTATTTCTTTTTGGGAGGAATTCTGTGTTAATTTTGACACATTGAGAAGTTACAGGGAAAAAATAGTGAAGCTTGTTTGTGCTTAATGGACTACATGGTGGGGAATATACACACTGTTTGTAAAAAGCCACAGACAAAATGTCACAAGGCTTAACATCGGACCCAAATGGGTTCTATCAGCACGTGCCTATAATGTTGAGCAAAGTGTTTCCCAAACACTTGTAATGCAGTTTATGAAGGGACTGCCTTGCACAATTACAAACAGTGTTTCAAAGTGATAGCTGGGTTACAAACTTGTAAATGTGGACTTTAGGGCATGAAGGCTCTGCTTGTTAGCTTTGCTCTGCTTTGGCATACAAGCTGCTGTGCAGGGAGAAATGCACATTTCGTAAAATGAAAGCGTATGAAAAGCTCGTCCAGATATGAGCGCGAAGAGACGGAGTGAGAGAAGGGAATTGGAGTAGCTGAGTAGCCCTGCTGGTTGTGCTCCTGCCTAGCGAATGCAGACCTTTGAAAAAATGGCCAGCCCCTTCTCCACAGTGTTTAGGGACGGTGCAGGATGCCCGCACTGATAGTGCCAGCTGAACACCCTTCCGAATTCTCCAGGTCTCCATCTCTGTGTCCTAATCTCTTTAGGTGTGATGTGCCCTGGAGAGGCTCGAGCACAGCCCTGCGGGTACACTGTTGTCTAGGAATGTGGAGTGTGGAAATGATGGGGATTATGGGAAGACTGGTGTGGGTGCCCATGCTCCACTATCACAAAGACTCTTGGCACCCGAGCTGCTACCCCGTTGAGTCAATATTTTCTTTTTTTAGCAATGGGGCTGCAAAACTGCATCTCTGTGGCTCTGAGATGGATGTTTTGGCTCAATATTAGTGCAAGTTTTTCTCTGTTGAATGGTGTAAAAGTGTGCTGCTACCGAGGGGAAATAAGTGAAATTGAGAAACTGATGAGGGCTGAGAAAGTGTGATGTAAAAATGATGGCAGGTAGCTGGCGGCTCATGCCAGGTGAAATGGAGCTGTGAAAACATTTAAGCTGTGCAGGTGGAGGAGTTCTGACTTCATGGTCCATTAGACTGATAAGAGTTGGGGCTCCTCATGTGGCAGAAATTTAGGCATAATAATTCACTGTATCGGCAAGGTTGCAGAATATGTGATGCAGCCAATGCCATCTGAAATTCAGCCGTTCTGTTCTATAATTGTTGAGTTTTTGCTCCAGAAAATGTTTATTTTGAGTTTTAAATATTTTGCATATGTAAGGACAGACTTTAAAGGTATTTTTTTTGATAACTCCATAGGCTCTGTTTTTTTTAATTAACTAGGCAATCCATATATATTTCAAACAGGATAGGTCATAGACTGACTATCTTGTCATTGCTAATGCAGAAAACAAGGGCACTATTTTTTTATTGTATTGACTACCATCTAACACCAGTAGAGGGAGCTGTCTTGAACCTAACATTTATCAATGTCATTTAATCTGAACCAAATTTCAATTTTCATGTGTGGGAGATGCAAACATTGGGTGAGAAATCAGTCTAATTTGAAACGCTCTGGGTGTATTCTGGCACAAATGGGTTTGTGCCCAGATACATTGAAGCTTCCTCAAATAGCTTTTAGGGGTTTTCTTTTCACTTGCGCTGCGCCTCACACAGAGCTTGTCAAGAAATTGTGCAACCAGCTCTTATTTTTTACAGCTTACCTCATTCTGTGACTGTCACCAGCGTTGCCTTTCTGTTTGTGCCCAACGGACTAAAGGAGACATTGAGACACTGGGAGTGTGGGAGCAACAGAGAGGCACGTAGAGCGGCAGAAGAAAGGGGAAAGGAAAGGACCCTGATGCATTGGGGAGGATGGGACTGAAGGCATTATTCTCAGATCAGCATATGTGTGTGTCTTTGTGTGACAGAGAAGAAGTCTAATGGTGTGTGTGTGTGTGTGTGTGTGTGTGTGTGTGTTTATATCTGTGTGCTGGAGAGAGGGAGGGAGGCATCAGGGGAGAAGCGAGAGATGAAGAGAATGAGCGTGCCGCTTAGGAAATGTCACACTGGGAAGATTTGTAGGTTTTGATCCTGGCAAATTAATGCAAAACCCCAGTGCAAGTATTTGATTTGGGAAAACTTTGGGAGCAGACTTGTCTCTTAATAATAATTATTGGGTTTACATTAATTTCCTCCCCTATTCTCTTCCACAGGAGAGCTGATCACCACTGCTTGTGAGCTGGGGGTAAGTATTAGCTGTATTGTTTAATCAATTCACTCATTAACTCTTATAAGCATTAAGGAAGTTTAATTAAGCATGGGCAGAAAGCAGATTAATTTACTTTCAGTCCACAGGTTTTTCTCCTTCTTTTCTATGCACTTATTTTACTAAGTTGCAAGTAGAGAATGCTATAATTTGCAACCCGTTTTTCAAATCCAATTAAAGTCAATGGTAAGGCGATGGCTTTTGTAGGCTTTGCCTTATGTACGGTATAAGGCTTATTATATCCACCCCTCTTTTTTTGTGTGTGTGTAAGCCGCGAAGAATGAACTAAATCGGGTTAACAGTTATAATAAGTTTTATTATTTAATAAAGTTTATTACGCCGCTGTGATCCTTTTAGGGAGGCTGTGTCGGTGTCACTATGCCAGTAATCCTGCCGTTAGTGCTGCAGTCCGTGTGGCCTGCCTGTCTGCTTTTCAGGCCTCCCCAGGGCCTGTCAGGCCGTCCCAGGGTCCCAGGCTGCTGGGCCCCCCTTTTCTGATCCCCAGAGTTTTAGAAACCAGCTTCCCTGTTCTCCCTATTGCCTCTGTCCCCTTAGCTGTCCTTTTGCTGCGTATCTTTCCATTCCTGTCGGCCACACACTCTCTTAACTGATGTCCCTTTTGACGCTAACACTTCTGCTGTCTGCTGAGTTACTATCTTTTCCTCTACGTAACTTGTTCCTCATTGCTCTGTGACTTCTCCTGACCTACATGCTCTATCTGCAACCCATCCCTCTGTTTTTGGTCAAGTGTTTTTGTAAGTAACCAAGCCTTTGCTGTGTGTGATGTGACCAGTGATGTAGCCACACTGTCACCATTCACAGCTCTGTGTTCTTCATAAGAACTGCCCCTTCTCCCTGCCTGCACGGCTCATGTTATCAGGGCCAGCGAATGAGCCTGTGTTTAATGACTGAGCCCTTATCTGGGTGGAGGAGACTTAGTAGCTAATTGCTGTGATTGCTTAGATCCCCCAGGCGAGAATGACTGCGGCTCAGAGGTGGTTTGGGCTGAGGCTGGCGAGCACCACGTGCTCCAGCAGGGGCTCTAGGGAGCGGCACTGTCCTTGGGAAGAGGCCAGAGGAAAAGCAGTGAGAAGAGGGATGAAGAGAGGGAGTCAGTTTGCGGTCATGCTACTGAAAATCTACAGCATACCACTACTGTCATTTACTGGGGGGTGAAGAGCAGCTATGTTTGCCACTAAGTACACTTGGGCTAAGAAAAATCACAATTCCTTTCTGCCACTTAACAATGTCTGCATCACTCTTGCCTTTATTAAATCTCCTCTCTTTTTAATCTGGCACCTGTTTTCTTGCTTACACCCTCACTTTCATTCAACCCAACTGCTTCTTTTGAAGCTGTGAGTTATTTCTAGTTGAGTCTCTCGATGTGTGTCTTAAACGTCCCTGTAAAGCAAGATCAGAAATTGTTATCTAAACACAATATACTGTATTTGTCTGAAAAAGTAGCTGTAAATATGTGGAAATACTGAGAACCATGTTTGACTGAATGATGGATTTACAGCGTTAGAAAATGTTTCATTACTTTTAGTTTCAGGTTTTTTTTTGGCAGTTCCAAATGGGGGGGCTTGATGATGCGCAGGGATTCCTTAGCATCCCCCCCCCCCACCATACTAGGACAAAATATAAAAGCAATACCTGTTCTGTTTTGCATTCTCAGTTCACCCCTTTGGTTGTGAGTTACTATTAGTTTCAACATTACAATCTGCAGTTTTGCTATTTAGCTATAACGGTAACGAACGGTGAGGTCAGTGACAGGGTAGGCAGGGTGAGTTGTAGCCAAAATAACAGCTAGGTTGCGTTATGAAACCAAATTATTGTCGTATTTCAAACACAATTGATGTGACGGATCTTAGATGACATGTTATGAAATCTACGTAGTACCTGTACCTGCTTAACCAACTGTGTACCACTGATTAAAAAATGTCCTCATTCATAACTCCTCTTATTTATACTTGATTTTAACATAAGAACAGCAAGCTTTAATCACACTCGCAAATAAAACTCAATCTTTATCAGATATGACATGAATCACATTCAACAGCTGCACATAAAGATAACATAAACAGACAAACTAGTAGAACAGCAAGCTTTAATCACACTCGCAAATAAAACTCAATCTTTATCAGATATGACATGAATCACATTCAACAGCTGCACATAAAGATAACATAAACAGACAAACTAGTAGTCCATATTTAGTAACAGACAGCAACAATCTTTTCATACACAGCTAAAGCTCTGGAGGGGTTGTTCATATTGCGGTTGCTTTGACCTCAGAGTGGCTCGTTAACAACAACACTGACAAAGACAGCAGTACAGTCGCTGACTTTTAGCACAGCCACGTAGCATGGTTAGCCTTTTCTCTGCCAGTTCTGTTTGGAATCACAGTAAACTTTTCGGTCCCTTCGTTTATGCAGGGTTTTTTTTTTTTTTTTTTTAAGTCTGGGGTAGTCCTTTTTCTAGCTATGCCAACAGATTCCTCCACAGCATCCCAGAGTAGAGATTTGTACTTAATTTTTCACGATTTGGAAACTTCATTTTATATAAGTATGGATTTTTTTCACAACTGAACTCTGGTCTGGTGGTGATTAACACAGTCTTCTTGAACATTTTGTTCTCAGGTGGCCCATCCTCCAGGGTACCCTGTCTTCACCTTACTAGCTCGTCTGGCTATCTTTCTCCTGCCCAACCTGTCTCCAGCTCACAGTGTCAACCTGATGAGCAGTCTGCTGGGCGCTGCAGCAAGTGGTGCCCTCTGCATTTCTATTAGCAGGTAGGCACAGAAGAATTATTTTGAGTTAAAGGGGTCTTTCAAAAAATTTCCTTACTCACTTTTTGCATCCCTGTAGCAGAGAGTGGTATTTCTGGTCCTGACAGACTGGCAGTGTGTCCCTGATCCTCTGTTCAGTATTCAAGAGCAGAGCCCAGCCGCCCTCCTCCCTCCCTCCACCCTGCCCTGCCTGTTTACCCATCAGCCACCCGTTGTGAGAGTGCGTGTGTATGTATATCACAATTATCCCACCCTCCAACCCCCACGCTGTCCATGTCCCCCTTCCCTCCACCAACACCACTGCCCAGCATGTTCCCAATCCTGACATGGCACGATTTCTTATCTCTGGCTCATGCGCCTGAGAGGGACAAGATCACTACCTCTGCTCCTCCCTTTCTCCTTTCTTCTACATCTCTCCCCTCGCTCAACCCCAAGTTCAGTTCACGGTCTCTTCATGGCATCTACCACCCTGCAGTTTTGCATGCTGCTGACCCTGTCATGAAAGAAAGTATTTCACCCTTCCCTCTTTGTGTGATTATCTCTCATGGTTGGCTGCACTACCTTACATCACCCTATTGCTGATCCAAGTAATTTCCCACATTGCATTGTTGGTGGCAGCTTAGTGTCAACATTTTTTCCTTTTGTCCCTCTAAATGCACTAGGGCATTTAAGAGCATGTCGTTTACTTGTAATTTACTCATATGATGTAATTTCTGTCCTATGTACACCTCTGTAGGCTGTGAGGACTCAGTACTAGTGGGGGAAAAAGCAGGTGAAAATGAAGTTGTGTGTTCCCAAGTGCTCAACAATGGGCCTACTTCTGACAGTTGCACTTCTTTGTGCTTGGCCACAGTTTGTGGCAGGCAGTCTGGGGAAGGTCAGGGGACAGGGTCAGTCCTAGTGCAGTAGGGCAGAGGCTGGGGAGGAAGTGAAACTCAGGGGACTGGATCTAAGCCCAGACTGCATCAGCCTAAAACAAGAAGCCTTGGTACTTCTCTGAGGTGAATCAGAATCTACCACGGGATAGGTCATTGAAAAGGAAGACAGGGTGAAAAACTGTGAGAAACACTATGCTTCTTTTTAGCTTTTTGGCTTTGTATCCCACTTCCCCCATAGTCCTAATGCATTTGATGAGTTATTAGTAAATTGGACTCGGCTTTGGCCATACATTTGCAGACAGTTATTTTGTGGCCAGAGAATATCCATGCAGTCTGGGTGATATTTGGCTCACAGTCTTCATGTTAACTGCAGCCCTGTTTGTAATCTCTGCGGATTTAGATCCAATTTTGGATTATGGTCAAGTAAAAAGTCATTATGTGGACCTCCAACCCCCCCAACAAGGGATGATGGGTAGTAAGGACTTCAGCCAGAGCACACAGTCACACCATTTAAGCCCTTAAGTATAAACGTATAATCTACGCTTTCAATTTGAAAAATAAGCATAAAAGGTTTTAGTCATTATCTGCTCAGGGTTTTAGCTTTTGGCTGTGAATCAGCTGGCAAACGTTTCCTAGTTAGGGGTTACTGGAGAGGGCAAAAGATGAGGAGGGCGAAGCGGCGCAAGGAATTCTGGATGGTCAAGACCCCCCTTTCAGGTCCAAGTATGGAGGTATGTCATACCATATAACTGCAGGGACTCTCGGGACCGGCCTTTACCTCAGATGAAATGCTAGAACTGAGCATCTGTTCATACCTGCTCCTGAGTTTGGTATGTCTTTTGCTAATTTAATTTAGTCACAACATTTTCTTCTTCTTTTTTTTTTTTAACCCATCTGGGGGTCAAAACTCTTTTCTTTCTTTTCATTTTTAGGTTTGTATCAGCTGAGTGGAATAGACTTTTTCCACTCCGAACAAATCATTTCTTTGTGTGATCATTTTCAGATGGAAAATATATTGCAGTTAATACAGATACTTGAAGGCAGTTTCTCTCAAATAATAAATTGTAAGACCTTGAAATTCATCTGGAGTATACCCAACATGGCAAGCCTTTGATGTATCAATTTAAATTAGTCGGCCAGATTGCAGTGTTTAATGTGGGGGAATGTAAGTTGATAGGCTTGGAAGCCACTTCTGTCTCTTGCATAAGTTAAAATGTAGCACTTAGCCTCCCTTTGAATTGTCAATTACACTTCTCTTGGCTTGATCATTTGGTTTGATGGCCAAATTGCACGTCTTGTTATGTTTTCACACCATGGCCTGACAAGCCTTTGAGGATGGTGGACGTAATGATAATTTCTATCGATTGCACTCAGAGGTTCAGAGACGGAAACATTTGGCCTGCTGAATGCTGAAGGCCTCGGCAGTGAGTCTCTGGAGGAATGCACCCTTCATAGCGGGATTATCCAGACAGCTTGGTATTCTGCGCTCTCTCGTTTCGCAGTTTATCTGCTAAAGCTGCTCGGAATCTCTGCTACCTGCGAGGAATCTCTCTCTCCATTCCAGAGCTTATCCTGAGAAACCAGGAGCAGACACGGCAGCCCGCTGACAGCCATCAGAGCAGAAAAACAACCTCACAGTTGCTCTGTCATCAGCACTTTTTGTTTGATCACATGATTACATAACAAGACTGTTGAAGCACACCAAACATGTCTGGCCTCTCTTGTCGGTGACAGTCCTTATATTTAACGCACACCTGTGAGAGGCTCCCCCACCAAGAGCTGGCCCATGATGCACAGCTGATACCTCAGAGGACCGGTGGATGGGCCTGGTGCCATCCCCAGCTCCTTATAAGGACCTTCACCATATGGTCCTGATGGCGCTTTTCCCTCCTCGCTCAGGTGGGTTGTTTTTCCACACAGGTGGGGCTGCTTGTATTTTGTTGGGGGTCATGTCAGGGTGTGTGGGTATTGTTTTTTTTTAGCTGCTTTTTGCATAGTTCGGTTTTTTAAGAGACATCCCCATTGTGAGTTGTGGCGTCAGGGAAACAGCTGAATAGAGTTGTTTTGTTAGATGGTGTCCTCACCTCTCCCTGCAGGTGGCAAGTCCACCCCTCCCTCTCACATCTGATGTGGTTGGATAAAATCTTCCTCCCAAGTAGGTATAGAGAAAAGAGCCATTCCTGTTTCCTGCTGAAAAGCAGAGGACAACTTTAGGTTTGATTATTTAAAAGGCCCCAATCTGTAGACCTTTTGTTCAATTTTTGCAGTATCTCATTCGTCATATTGTAGTCCAACAGACCTCCTTCACTCCCCCCCCATCCCCAGCATGACCAATGGTTCCCCCAGGACTCATCCTCTAATACAGTTAAACAGATGTCTAATGAAGATGTTATTTCCTCATTACTGGCTATGGGATGGGGATAGAGCGGAGGAGGGAGGAGGGCGAGATAGACAGCAGAATACAGTAGCAGTTTAATATTCCTTTCGCCCGTGGGCCCGAGATTGTGTCTGCCTCGGACGTCAATATTACATTCCTCACCCACCACAGGCGGTCTTAATAAGGCACCAGGCACGAAGACGGATCAGACTCGGCAATTACAATTCACCCAGAATTAGTTAATGGAATCTTTACAGCAACATTTATGTATCACTGGTGTGTGGCTAATGACTTTGTTGGAAAAGGCAGCAATAAAAATGGCATTCAGAGCATTGCATAAACACAGGATTTTTCTCAATTGTTTTTTTCCCCTCTTCCTGTAATTTTTGTGTGTTGGGTGGAGATTAAGATGGCATTCTGGGAGAAATTGTCATGTCAGTGGCTGCATTGTTTGTGCAGAATTGTGGTGATTAATTTTACACGCACTTGGAGCACTGCAGCGCTCTCCTGGAGGAGGGGTGTCTGAGCTGCAGAGCTGGGACCCTTATTCACCCTCCTTTCTGTTTGAGCAGACAGCATCCTTGTCGCACTCTGGAGGAGGCAGGAAAGATGGAGGAATGCCTGGTTTGGTGTCTGGCTGAAAAAAAATAGGCTGCTGTCACGTACAAGATTCAAATCTGGTACTGTCTGTAACAGCGAAATAAAAGAAGGAAGTGGGCATTTTTACCTCAATGTGAATAACAGGCATTGTTGTTTTGGCTCATTTTTTTTGGAATGGAAATGTTTGGAATTGAACGTTTCTGATATTAAGTCATGAATATATATCCTATAATGCAGTGTGTTTGATTATATTGAATTCACTTTAAAAAACGAAACATCATAAATAGAAACTGCAAATTCAGTTTTTATTTAGCATTGTTGTGATGCAGTCTAGCAATTATGAAGCAATGGGTGTTACAAGAGAACGTTTTGATTTCCTGACATGAAGGTAGACTGCTTCATTTTGACATTATATTTGACTGTCAGTTACTCACAAGCCCACAATGCTGATTAAGCAAGATAAATATGTCTTTTTCTAGCAGTATCCTGGACTTTTGAATGTTGTATCTACTGTAGTGATACATTTCCCTTCAAACAGCATTGACTCCTTTGCCAGAGATGAAGAGGGGAACAACAATAGCGACAGAGTTGGCTACAGTAACTATAAACATGTCTGAAAAACCAAAGAAGTGTCCAACAAGGTTATTGAGGCCCCATTTAAAAAAGAAAAATCAGTAAAGATGATTGTAAACATTTTTTTTATTTTACAGTGTTGGAACTGATCAGGATAAGTACACTTGCAGGTATAGTTTTAGACATGTGGCAGTCCTGTGTAATCATCTCCCTGTCCATCTTCCAGATCTAAAACACTATATAACACATTTCCTATTGTGGGCTTATCAATAGGAAGCATCTTTTCTTGAAGTCTCCCTGCCTGCTAAATGTCCTATCTTTCCAACTCCATGCATCACATATGTTACAAGGTTTATTGCTAAAAACTTTTAGTCTTCAATCCCAGATGATGTCATGAAGGTTACTCTACAGCCACAGACACCATCATCTGTTTGTAGAAATTGGATAGCCAATGTAAAAACAAAACAAAGATTAATATAATACAAAATGGGCAAATTATGATGATTCAATTCCAATGCTAGTTTATAATAAAATATATAATGAAGGTGTTGTCTAGCCCTAATCCTTACATAGACTTGCTTTTGAACACTTGGCATTTTTATTTACTAGTGTGTTTGAATTCCTGACGTGTATACACAAAATGTAATTTAAAAGCTTAGATTTGTGCATCAGTTGATGCTTAGTTTTGGAATTTCAAAGCAGTGCATCTGACACTTACCAGTGTAATATAATAACTACTAAGTACCCTGCTTGGTGTCCTGGCCAGAGGAGAACCCCAGGGTGTCATCGGGGGCCAGCTGGAAACCTCGGCTTCAGCCCGAGCAGGCCACTTGGTCTCTTGGGCTCTCTACCCTCTTCAGGAATGTGTGATTCTTTTCCAGCGATGCTTCCCCAAACCACCACTCGGTTAGAGAACAGTGCAACGCTGATCCGCGATGGCACAGCTGTGGTATTGTGTGTTCCCCAGGGTGGTGTGTGACAGTGGCTCCCTCGGCCAGCTTCCATTGTGAAGCCTCAATCAGTGCAGAGAGCTGGTGTTGGCTTTTTGTGTGCTGTTATTTAGCACAGACGACTGGTGTTGGCACGTCTCTTTCACATACTGTAGAACTGAGGCAGGTCCCATTTTGACACTTCAAAGGTTTTTTTTTTTTTCTGAGCGTTTGTTGTGTCCTTGAAGGGGACATTGCTTACCAAAGCCATTGTCATTTATTCAATTTAATTTACCTTTGATCTTTCCTATTGAACGTGATTTGTTTGCATTTTAATGTTCCCATTTGTCTACATTATGTGTCAAGTCGCTTAATTGGTAATTTTCTTTTCTAGCCACCTACATTAAACCAAGTTTTTTTAATTCTAGGTTAAACGCATATTATTTGTCATTCCGTTAATTTCCCAAGTGCTGACACGGACATTTTGGCAGGGCCTTGCAGTTCAGGGTAGAATGGTCTCGTTGTCAGCTGAGTTATTCTCCTGCCACGTCTCAACCAGGCCATTGTCACTGAGCCACAACATTTCAGCACAGCGGCATCCTGCACTGCATTGAGTGGTGATAACAGGGAACACGGCAACTCCGGTGTCAAAATGTGTCCCGCTTTATCCGCACGCCCTGGGAGCAGCCGACCCGGAGAATGATCTGTGGAGCGGCTGAGAGGCTGACTGGGACCCAGGTGGTCTGCGCAGACAGACAGGTCATTTACAGCCCGCACTGAACACACATCACTGGGCTCTCTTGGACTGACAAGCTCTAACAGAGAGATTTGTCAGCCACTCAGGGAGAATAAAGAAGCAGGGGGGACAGGAGTGTGGGTGTGTGTGTCTGAGTGCTGCCTGGCTGCAAATTGCAGGAAACTTGGTGTAATAATAACCCCGTCTGTGGACCCCCACGACTGTACTGCACCCAGTGTAACCCCAAAAGCAGCCCCCCTGCTCTGTGTAAGCTACGGGTTAATTGTCATGCAGGGACGTAAAATTAAGGGTGCGGGGGGTCTCTGCACCTCAACAAAAGTCCTCATCTGCCCCCCCCCCACCCTCCATCCTCCACCACCCAGCCCATCCTTCTTCATCCCTTCCTTCAAGTTATAGCTAATTCCTGGAGCGTTCAGTGAGAAAGACGCTGCTATCTCTTATTAAGACCCACTGGTAGACGTCCCATCAACACAGTCCGCCCCCCCATCTCTAATGTGCACACACATATACACACACGCATGCATATTCATTCACCAAGCTCACCTTACAGAGAACACAGGAAAAATAGTGGCGAGAGGCAGAGAAAAAAAAAAAAAACATGAAAAAAATGGGAAGTAGTCAGCAAGCAAGAGTTTTTTTTTTTCTTTTCTACCATCCTCTCGCTCTCCCTCTCCTTTTTTCCCTGATTTACCGCGCTTTCCTCAGAAAGCTCCATTGTTCCCCTAGCCTAAGTCTCATCAGGCCTTTTGTGGCTGACTATCACAGCGGCAGGCAGAGAGCTGGAAATGTATAAATGGTATCATGCCTTGTGATTAATGGCGGTGCTTATGAGTCAGGTCTGATAACGGGCCTGCTCTCTACTCAATTTCAGATACCGTTAATGGAATCTGTCTTCTGCGATTGTAATGTGAGAGCGCCTAATTTGCTATGGAGCTTGAAGCTGTCACCGGCAAGGGATTGTGGGGTCATAAGGGACCTGGCAGCCGTTTGGCCTGCAGCTTGTATCTGCGGTGCTGAATAGAGCAGCTCTCTGCCTGTCAGTTAGCTGATAGGCTGATGAGGACTCTAAGCCACTCCACACAATGGCGGAAAGGGCCATACTGCCTGACTTCCCTAATTGTTGAGCCTGCTCATATTTCAGAGCCAGCATGCCGGGGACTGGGCTATGTTTTTTTTTTTCCTTTTTTCTTTTTTCCCCTCTCTCTTCTTGAACTTTTTTCTTCCTTTTTCTTTATTTCATCCTTTATCCCGCACACTGTCTCACCCTTATACCGCACACTTCTCTACACTACCACCCCCCATTACCACCACCACCACCACCACCACCACCCCACCATCATTTGTCGCCTCTCTCTCTCTCCCCCTATGTCTCTCATTTTAGTAAGTGGTGGGTCTTAGCGTATGACAGATTATCCCAAGTTTGCTTCAATTACGGCAAAGGAGATGGAGACAGTACAGGAGAGGAGGTAGGGGGAAACTTTTGTGAACACATTATATTTAAGAAGCTGAGGATAAAGTGCTATCTCTACCATGGTGGTTTCTTTGCCAGTCTCCTCCAGATCAACTGGCTGCTGCTGCTGCTGCTGCTGCTGAGGGACTCATGATGATATTTGAATGGCCCAATTCAGAGTGTTTTTCAAGGTCTTGTCTGAGAAGCAAACTTGGGTTGGGGGAAGATTAAGTGGGTCCCCAAACGAGTCTGGGGGAAGTGGTGGCTGTTTTGGGTGCAAACTTTAATTTATTTTTAAAAAGCTGACTTTGTTTTTCTGCTGTTTTGTATCACTGCAGTGCAAGTTAGGTAAAAAATGTCAACACTTGAAGTTCTGTAGTTTGGCCTAAGAACAAAAGGTTAGGCTGGAATGCAGATATTTGGGATTTTTTTGGGCACTCTCACTTTGGGCCCAATTGCCCTGTACCATGCCAATGGACAAAAGTCTTCCCTTCCCAATCCCCTGCTGGCCTGCACGCGCATTGCTCCAGGCCACGTCTTAATACGACACATGCATAGCTTTACGTCAAGTGCAGTCTCAGAGTCAGCACAGTGTAGAACAATACAGAGCACATTTCTGCAACTTCACTGACTTTGTGGCTAATTTCTGACTTTTTTGTCAGTTACAGCCCTCTAAGACTCCTGGAATTCTCTATTATACAAGGCGACAATCGATTATACATCATCAGCGTACCCATGCTTGTGCCAAAGCCCTCCTCTTCCAACCGAGCCAGGGCAAAGGAAGCATACTGTGCTTGAGCATGATATGTAGCACTCACACTAGTCAGACAAACTGGACTTTGGGGGTCAAATGTTGTTTGGATTGCCTGAAACTGACTTGGAACAAAAAGTTGGAATAGAATGCAAATATACTCGACTTTTAAGGTGTTTTCAGATTTATTTAAGTCTGAAAAACTTTGCTGCAACTCAATGAAAAACTGAAATTTTCCTGCAAGTGGCTTGAAACACACATACAATCTTTCATGGATAGCGTGAAAAACAGATCCATCTAAGATTCTGTATCATAATTAAGGCCTCTCATCTTCCGGTTTCAGACTGACAGGTCCTGGTCCTGGAGCCGTGCTGGCTGGAGGGCTGTTTGCTGTGTCCAGGCTGAGCTGGCAGTGGTCTATGGGCGCAGAGGTCTTCACTCTCAACAACTTTTTTGTTGGTCTGCTCTTTTTCCTCATCACCAGCTTCCACTGTGCAGAAAAAGCCACTCAGAGGAGGAAGGTAACTCACTACATCACATCCTTATGTTAGATGTTAGCCTTTTCCTTTTCATGGATCATTTCTTTGATGCCTTGTTAAGATATCTTCAACATGAACTCACAGTGCTAAATACTTGACCTTGTCAGATGGCATATTGGGGAGCACTCTGCTGTGGCTTGGGGCTCTGCAACCAGCACACCCTGGTTCTGTATGTGCTGGTCATCATTCCCTGGGTCTTTTACAGACTTTACTCGCACAAGGTAAGTATTAAGGTTTAAAAAATAAAGAAAAACTAAAAAAGCCAAAGAAATAATGTATACTGTTATATTGTGTACGCTGTCCTTTGACAGTTATATTTCTATGATTTTTTTTTTTTTTTCAAGTGCATGTGTTTCTTTATAAACCCAATTTGGAAATCATAGTCTAACTTTTCAGCAGGATCCTGTCAAACTTTAGAATATTTCAATGTTAGCCTTATTAAGGATTTGTATTAAGGATCCTCCAGGCTTGTTGCCGTCCCTTTCTGAAGTGTAGGTACATGCCATACTGTATATTCAATGTGAAATAAAGTTGAATTGGATTTTTTTGCATTAAAGCTTCTCTCAATCTGAGTCAGTTTCACATACATTTAGAGAACTGTAATTTAAGAAGCTCTCTGTCTCTGAATCATCTCAACAGGAGCTGTCTCTGCGTGTCCTCGCGTCCCTGGGCGCGTGTTTCCTCGCTGGTTTTCTGCCATACATCTACCTTCCAGTGTCTTCCTACCTGAACACAGCCCGCTGGAGCTGGGGGGATCAGACCACCCTGACAGGCCTGCTGACCCACCTGCTGAGAGCTGAATATGGCACCTTCAGTCTCGTATGCATTTTTGCACTACTCTTATTATTAGCTATTCGACAACAGTCAATAAGTGTGAGCTGATAATATTTGTAACTTTTACATTCATGGTTTTCATCGTATTCCTTTTTGTGTTTGCAGGCGAAGACTGAGAGCTCTGTAAACTTGACTACAATGCTGAAGTGAGTGTGTCTTTTATCAACTCAACTGTTCACACATTAAGATTATTAATCAGAAGTATTTATACAGTTCATTAAATTGAACTGTTTTGTTATGAGTTCATAAATTGTATTTGTCAATCACAACTCTTTAAAACATCTTTTTGTTTTATGTGCCATTTACTCTGTCTAACTTAAAGTTTGATATACTATAATATGCTAACTATATGATTAACTTACAGAGCAGATTCTAAGATTGGGTACAGAGAAACAATTGAAAACAGAGAGTTTCATCAGAGGTACAGTGAGGGCACATGGTTCTAGACATGGAGGACGATCCCCCCCCCCCCTTTGGTGTTTTACACACGTTTAACCACAGAAACTCTTATCTGTTCTGAGAGCCCCTTCTCATTTCTGCAGGCCGACCCTCTCTCCCTCTCTTGTCCCCAGCAGCTTTTGTTCTTCCCCTACCACTCTCTCCCATCAAAGCAGAACTGAACCTGCTTAGAGGGCCAAATCGCTGTGTTCTGTTTCTCCAGCAGTTTGAAATGATCACTCAGCTCTGGTGTTTAAGCGTGACAAGCTGTGATGACAGACACTGCAATAGAGCTGGAGAAATTGTATTTTTCCACTCCAGCAAACCCCCCCCCCCCCCCCCCAATACCTCCTCCACTGGATCTCCTCCTCTACTCCCTGCTACAACACCACCACCACCACCACTGCAGTCATCCCACTCCTGATATCGCTCTCCAACTGACGGGATGGGGGTGCATGTGCGTCTTAAGGCCCCCCACTACTAGCCCTCCCTACCCTACCAGGCGCCCACCCCTTCCCATCATCCCTGCTGCTTGATGGACAAGCACACCTTCAAGATGGGGAAGAGAGGCGAACATGACAGGCATGTCGCACTGGAGACGTAAAACCCGCTGGAGAAGCTGACACACACACACACCCACAAACACACGCTTTTCAGCACATTCACACATAGTGTACATTGGGAGATATAGAGACTCAATAAGCTGTCAAATAGAGATGGGTATTAAGGAAGAGGCAGGAAACTATCTCTCTGCTCTGAGCAAACGCTCACTGACTGACAGGCGCTGTGAAGAGAGGATGGGGCAGCGGGGGGGTGGATGACACAGTCATTCGTATCCGTCAATCCGATTGAAAGGAGGAGCACAGAGTCCAAGGAGTTTGTTTTGATAGAGGATGGAGGGCATTTAATAATTGCTGTCCTTGAGTTCAGTAGCAGGGAGGGTAATTGAGCTTGTCTTTGGTGTCCGTCATAAAGTATGTTATACTTGTGTGCGTCTGTGTGTCCATGTGTGTGTGTGTGTCCGTGTGTGTGTGTTCAGGGCCCAGTTGGACCACTGCCTGGCAGACCTTTCGCTTCCCGTTCTGGCTCTTGCAGGAGTGGGCCTTCTCCTCTCCTCGTGGGACAGGTAGGATGAGCGAGAAACGGGCATACAAAACACCAAACTCTGTCACACACATCTCCGCAGCCACTTCAACCAAAAATCTAATCCCCTGCAGTAAGAGACGGGGAACAAAACCACTGACAAAACGCTGATCTCGGGGAAAAAAGAATACAAAAAAACACTGAGCCACCTAACTGTCAAGCTGTCGCGACGCTCCACATTCAAATCAAGACAGGTTGATGTGTGTTTTTAAATTTTCACAAACATGTTTGTGTGTGCAAGTAAACCACTGCTTGTATGTATCTGTTTGTGGCAGTGTGGCGGTTTGATCCAGTTATTCATTACAGCAGAGCCTTTCTTGGGGGTCTGTGGGGCAGAGCTTATAGAGCTGAGGGATGCCTCAGGGCTCTGTAGGGCAATGATCACGACCTGCTCCCCCCTGCACTTTTATACACTTGATTACATGAACATGTGAAATATAGGATGCTCAAAAGAAACCATAAAAAGGCCACTATAATACTGTAAAAATCTGCTTTCATTTTTCACACATTGTGCCTAATTTGAAGAAAAAAACAAAAACAGAATCTTGACAGTACGAGTTGGTGGCCAGTCAGCTGAGCACATCAGATCAATTCGTTGGCAGAAAAGCAAGTCATTTTGCTTTGGCTTGGAAGTGTCTCTTCAGGTTCAGATGATGATTTGTTATTGCCATAAGGCTAGTGTGTTTTCCTTTTTAGTGTATAAGTACATTTTACAGCTGTACTGTAATGAGTTTGTGATTCAGAGCTTGGCAGCAGCTCATTATGACTCAGTCTGCATTAGAAAATCAATCATGCACCTCTTAGCTGGCTGGCGTATACATTTGCCCTCGGGCTTGTGATCTCCATCCCTGCATTAATATTTTACGGACTTATTCAAAACAAGTATATTTTTACAGAGAAAATAGACAACATAATACTTTCAACTTGATATGTGGAAATTGGGGTATACAGAGCAATGTTAAAATGAGTTTGAATGAAAAAGAGAAGAATATTGATATACAAAATATATATTGTCTTCTCTATCATAGGATGTGTCGCTCAGTGGCCTGGTTGTCACTGCCATGCTTGTGGTGTACTCGCTGTTTTTTGCTTGGAGAGCCAACCTTGACATCAGCAGACCCCTTCTCCTTGGAGTCGTGAGTTATGAGACTTAAATTCACTTTGTCAATCACCCTGTCGGTTCCTGTTATCTTTATTGAAATGCAGCTGGATATTTTTTCTGTCTATGGGAGATCATATCAGTGCTGTTCCTGGCATGGATCTATAAGTACATTCAGGACTGCATGGAGGAAAAGAAAACACTTGAAGAAACAGTGGTGTGTGTTCCTGTGCTTGTTTGTGTACACCTCTACACTCCTTTTCCTGCAGGTTGAGCGATTCTGGCTCCAGAGCGATGCTGCAGTGTGTGTGCTGGCAGGCCTCGGCTTGAGCCGGACACACACAGAGCTGGAGAGGAGGCTGGGATGTGGGGGGCTGTGGAGGAACTCAGGCTGGGTGCTCACCATGGGTCTATTGGCACATATGGTGCACACCAATCACAGGTAAGCATTGCACTGTGTTCCAATAACAAACTCCCTCACTGGTGTATTGAAGACGCAGTGTAGTCCTTGGGTTTAATATTAATGAAGACATTGTTTGACTATTGTTTCGGTCTGTTACAACACATTTTAAATGCAACACTGTCTGTAAGATTACAGTCTTGACTTTTAGGTTTTAGATTGATATTAACCTGGGATTTTGGATGAACATGCAGGACTCCTGGTTTTATGGCCTTGAATTATTGGGACGCAATCACTTACAATTAAAATCTTCCACCTTATTCTTTTCAATAGAGAGTGGAACTACTTCTGTGGCAGATATAAGCCCAAACGTTTCTTTAGGGCTAAGACATAAGTTAGTTTTGTAGCATATATTTTGCTGAAGTAATTCTTCAAGAACTACATCTTGTACCTGATACCATCAGTGAAGCTTTACCTCCATAATTATTATGGCTGCATCTTCTTGCTCTGCAGGCAATTCATGATTCCAACCTCTGATAGTGGTTGTCCTGATCTCAAAAGCAGTGAATCTACGTGCATTTATCTTTGGAGTCGTTTTATTGTGCAGTATTTTTATTGCAGGAACTACGCCGGACACAAATGTTACTTTGTGTTAGCTTTGTTGAGTAAAGTTGAAGTGAGGTTAAAAACTCCCTTCTCATTCTGCTTCCTTCTAAAATCCCCATACAGAAGTTTTCCCTGAGTCAACCTGATTTGTTTCTCCTCTGCGCTTCATACTGCAGGTCTGAACTTCACATGTCAGGTATTTCTCTCCTCACCCCATGGTAGGTGCTGAAGAGAGGCACGGTTAGCACATAGATTCCACTCACAGAGCTCAGTGTGAGATGTTAGCTGTCCGAGAAGGCAGATTACACCGCAGTGCTGGGGAGTGCCAGACAGCCATCACTGAGCAGCTTTGATCAAGGGGAGAGCATGGCCTGTGCTGTCAGACCCATCACACCTGTCTCCCCTCGATTAGATAGGCAGCCACGGCGCTCTGCAGAGGGGAAGGGGCGGGGGCACTGACAACTTACCCTCAGAGCACCTTGAAAGCGTACCTACAAGCAGCGACTCACTTTCATCCACAGTTTTACAGATCACACACAATTCTAAGTAGGGTGAAGATGCACTGAAGCCCTTTTAAAATTCAAGTAAACACAACGTGTGTTTTGATGATGGTGTACAGTGTGATGATGTTTGTGCTATTGATCCTAGGGAGTGTGATCTGAGCAGAAACAGTGTAGTGGAGAGGTTCGGCAGGGAGCTTCTGGCTTCTGTCCCAAATGACTCGATCATCCTGACCAGAGGAGATCTGCCTGGAAACTCGCTGCGCTACTTATACTACTGTGAGGGGGTTCGTCCCGATGTCCGTCTCGTCGACCAGGAGGTCAGAGCTTTACATTCTCCACGCTCTTGTCTGTTGAATCCTAAACTTTTCTCTTGAAGTTTAATACTCACACACACTAAAAGTTTGATTAAAGATATTTAATTATAGAAACAACAAACTGCTTAGGGTGAGTTTCCTTGTTTTACTTAGTGGCTGAACAGAGGACTGCAAAGTTCAACATCACTGCATGATTTTGTGAAGCAACAAATGATGCGTTTGATTCACAAAATGTAGCTTTAGTGTCTTATTGATTTTTAAAATAAAGATATGATTGAAAACATAGGATTTATATATTTTTAAAATGAAGATTTATGAACAAGGGGAAGATTATTTTTCATGCTCGTAACAGTTTTAGGAAATTAGCAATGTACCTTAGTTGTGTAAAACAGAATAAAATTAATACAAAATACATTAAATACAGTCTAGTGACTGGATGATCCTCTAGCTTCCTTTATTGGGCACATTATCAATGTCCCCATCCTGTTTCAAGTTTGTGCATCTCTCTATATATTATCTAATCTAATTAAAAATCAAGAAGTGAAAACAAGAACCTTCCATTAAAGACCAACAAACTTGGATAAAAGGAAATAGAAGCCATTTAAAAATTGTATTTAAGGAGCAAAAGCCACCGACAGTCAATAAATCCATGTGTTGAAATGATTAGTACACTGGCTGCTAATTTGGTCATCATAATTGATTGAGTTTTTATGGTACTTCTTTCTAGATGATGACATACAGTTGGTATGTTGCCAAGCTGGCACAGCACCACCCAGGGGTCCACTTTCCTGGCCGCTGGTGGGACCCAGTCCACCCTGAGGGGAAAGACACCTTCAATCTGGAGCAGTTTCTTCTGCACAACACGCAGTAAGTTACCGAGACAGAATGAAATGGAGGTCTGAGCTGATGAATAGAAGGCTGTAAAAAAAGGAGAGAGAATGAGTCGGGAGGGCAACAATGGTCCAAATGAACAAGTGGGTGATCTAAAAAGGCATAGATCAGGGGGTGGTTCACACAGCTGTAAATGCAGGGAGAAGATAATCTCATAGAAGTGTTGGGGCCATAAAAGGAGATTGATGAAGTACACGCGCCGTTTAATCTACTTGATTGGGTTAAACAGTCTCTGGTGGAGTCAGTGCTGCTCCCTGCTCTCACATCTCTCACTCCTACAATAAGAACTGAGACTCGGGAAGTGGCTGGGGACCTGTTAATGCCAAGCCCACCAGGGGGCAGTGTTTGCCAGGCCAACATGCCCGTCTCTCCGTGGGGCACACTGACCTGTGGGATTAACCTCCAGGGCCCAAAAGCTAGAAGGTGTTGCGGTGTGAGGAAATATTTTTGGACATGGTGTTGGTGTTTGTCTCATCATCAGGAGTCAGCCTCGTGGAGAAAGAACGAATAAATCGAGGATGTGAGCAAGCCTCTTCATTTTTCCACAGGAGGGATGTTGTCGCCTGCATTGGGCTGTCTGAAGGAGACCCTAGCTGGGAGCATAGTTTCTCCCGTTGGCCGTGGGGTGTGTGTGACGTCTTGGTGCCAGCTCAGAGGCAGTTTCACCCTGAAAGGTGGGCGAAGAGGACTCGGAACATGTACAACTGGACGGAACCACATGAAAGGTGCTTACAAACACATTCAGAACATTCACATCTCTAGAGAGGTATTTGACCTTTAAACATACAGTTTCTTATTTTCCTTCTTTTAAGTAGCTTTTGGGTTTAATAAATTGTCTTAATTGTTGGACAATAATGTGTGTACTCCGCTCTCTCACCTCTTCTAAAGCTTTATGATGATTACACCGAGTTAAATCTTTACAGCAGGGCAAAATGTATCAAATAAAAATGTTCACATCTTGTGCATCAGTTTATACACATTGACTGAATTGTTACCTTTGGATACTTTGGAATCTTGACTTTAATTTAAATTAAGGTCTTGTAGAATAAACAATGTTTTATCTCCACAGTATGAGATTGTAGAGACTGGCGCAGTCTGTAAATTCAGGGAGTCCTGAGGAAAATCAGCGCAGCATTTTGGAAAAAACAGGTCGTGATCTTATGTTAAAAAAATAATTCCCTCATAAAGATACAAATAATGAATCCTCACCACGTATTTCTTCATCAACATCTCTTTGCCCCTCGTCTCTGTGGAGTCTGATGGAGGACGACTGAAGACCACAGAGCTTCCCTCAGTGAGGTTGTGCTCTGTGCTCTTTGTGAATTTAACCAGAGCAGACATCAGGCCCTCAGCCATTTGAAATGAGACTGAAGATGGGAAATAATGAGTTTCTTATTGCATTTTGTCAATAACTGTGTCAAAAGTGGAATTAGTCAAAGCTCCATATTCTGTTGCCGTTGCCAGCAGCCCTTCATTCACTCTGCTATCCACGGCTGAATACTGTGACATTATTTCCCGCACTCTCACGACAAGCGTGTCCGTCGATGCCCACAAGCCAAATATTAGTTGGGAGCTCTGCTTAAATATTCTTTTGAAGAAGAGGTCAAGTGTTTACAGCCAACAAAGTGAAAAAAAGGGAAGATGTGGTTTTATTGCGTGTCTAATGTGTTTGCTGGTATTGTTGCTCAGTCATTTAATGTTTATGCAGAAAACATCCATGTTTAATGTATCAAAACCTGCACAGTCCAGTTGAACAATACACATTCACATTAATATCATTTTCAGTTAGATGAATTCTGCATGAAAAGCCTGAAGCTGTTTAGATAAAGAAATGTTTTTTTTTTTTTTTTAACTCGTGAACAGTTTCCATCCTGCGTCCTGGGAGCATGTCGCTAATGAGGAGATGTGGCAAGCCAGGTACAGTAAGTTCAAGTTTTTTTTACAGAAAGACACTACAGATAAAAAAAGCTGCGTCACATTGCATACTTTACCACGAGAACATCTCCATAAACCAGTCTTGTGTGATAGAGCATCTACATGTACATTCTATTTGGTATCGGCATCTACATAAATCACTCCATTGGAGTGGTGCGTCTGTGAGTGTGGATCTGCATGGCTCATCCATCCAGCACTTAGCCCTGAGCCTGCGTGCTTTGTTTCAGGATGAAGACGGCTTTCTTTCTGTTTGACCTGGCTGAAAGGATTCAGGGAGAGGGGAGCGCTCGCCTCTTTGAGCTGTCTTACACTGTGAGTCTGACCCTAACAAACACTGCCACAACACTGTCATTTACCATAATGGAGCAGATTTAAGTACTAAAACAAGGCAAAGAATGACATATTCAGGGGCTTTTACTTTGTTATTTGTGGTAACATCTGCTCTTATGTGTGTGTCTTTGTGTGTTTATGTGTTTGTGTTGGACAGCTGTATAAGGAGATTGTTGAGGCCCACTCAGACTACCCTCCTAACTGGGACAAGAACTTGGCTCTGGCCTGCGAGAGGCTGCTCCACTCCGGTCAAAGGGGGCACAGTCCAGACAGCCTGCTGACCTGCAGCACCGAGCACTTTAGTCTCTACTTAGAGAAGGAAGCTACAGATCCCCAGGCACCCGCCATTCGCTCAGCCATTACTCACCTGGTCAAAGAGAGAGACAGACTCCGCCAGAGCCAGAGGCCAGCCCCTTAACAATATCCAGAGAGACCTCCACAGAGCTGGAACACTGAAAGCAGGAGCCTAGCTGAAATGCTAGACACCAGGGATGAGTCTGAATGTTCCTCCTCCCAGGAATGATGATAATAATAGGTGGCAGTCCAGTTTTGTGCTGAAGTTTTGGCCAAATGTAAATGGTCAAATTGGAATTATGAGTTGCTGCTGCAGAATAACTGGTTTCTAGAAATTCAGCACATCTCTGCACAAAGGACAAAAAACTTCCTCTCAGCCGTGCTTCATTTAACAAAGTTTGACCAGAGACAGAGCTTGACTTTAGGTAGCCTTGGCTGACCCCAATCAAGCTATGCCTGCTCCCCTTTAACTCAACCTTTCGATTGCTTTATCGTTGCATCTTTCCTTTTTTCCTTTCCTCCTCTGCTCTCACAGCTTTTAATGTGCTGATTATTCTGCCTCCGCCACTGCTCTAGTTCTCTTTTTCTCACATTAGGACGGCAGGGCCGAGATTGAGGGAAAACCAATTTGGGGGCAGAAATGGGGGATTAGAGCGGCTGTTTAATCTAGGACAGACTTGTGCAGTGCCACACAGTCCCCACTCCGCATAACCAGCACTACCCACCCACCCACCCACTCACCCACCCCTCTATCCTTCCATCAGTCCATCTAAGATGGTCCTTTAAATGTTTAAAACTAATGGATTTCATGAGTTTTTTTCCCTCTCTTCCTTCCTAACAGGAGGGCTGTAATCCTTCATGGATTTAAATGAAATGTGAAATGTCACAATGCCAGGGACCCTTTTAGAGGTGCGTTTTTGTGTGTGATGATTTGTGTTTGTGTGTGAACATACTTAAATCTCCACCCAGGCCCTTTCACTGCCCGAATGGCACATAAGCATTGTCGATAAACAGATCGGCACACGGAAAAGCAGAGTGCTTTGATCGTCATAGAGGCACAAAGTCATGCAAACTCCAGGGACACAAGTAGACACGCAAGACCATCCGCCTCCCAGCTCGCAGGAAAATGGACTTTTATCCCTGTGAGTGCTGCTGAAGAGACAACATGGCACGCAAACACATAGAGCAGAGCCTCTCGTCTTTGACGTGTTCTCAGGGTCCAAAACTTTAATTACACACCGTTTTTGTTGATATTTGTGATGATGTTAATGAACCTTCTGCTGTGGAAGCTATTATGCAGAGGTTGTATGTTCCATAAGCTTTCTTAAAACTCTGCTCAATGAGCCGGCTCTCTGAGATACTTCTAGAAAGCGAAGGACAGTTTTTGCACGTGGAGTTTTCTCAGAATGTAATCTGCCCTGTCTGTTCGCAGGAATGGTTAGCGGCTGTCAGCTGGCTGGATGATGAGATTCGACCTGCTGTAGCACAGATGGTCTGGTTTCACATAAAAAGGGACAACTTTCCCTCTGCTTTCTACTGAGAAATATGTCAATAAAGATGATGTTTATTTTAACACGTTTCTACCTTTTTTCTAACGTTGACTTGTTTGGCCTCAAATGTAGAACGTATTTGTCTAATTTGTCTTCTTTTGTCTTTGAATAACAATAATTTCCCGTCATTTTTCATGCCCTCTTTTATTATTTGCCACTTTACTTTCTACCCTCTCCGTTGCCATCCCTCTCTTGTCCCCCATCCTGTCATCCCCCTCTCGCCCTGTCTTCCCCTAACCCCTCTGTTCCTTTCCTCTTCCCTGTCTCTGAGTCAGTTGCCCACCCTAAATCAGCAAGCTGCCGAGGATTGTGGGAACCCATGGAATCGCCGTGACCAGGGATGCAGGCAGGGAGCCACAGCAACGCTGGAATGTGGGGCGTCTGAGGAGATAAGAGCTGTGAGCCCAGCCAGGGAAGAGGGGAGGGATGCAGCAAGAGAGGAGCGAGGAGGAGGGGGGGGGGGAGAGACGAGGGTGAGACGGAAACAGGGAGAGCACCAAGTCTGTGAATGGGGAGACAGAAACACAACACCATAAACAGCCCAGAGAGCAAGACAGAGAAAGAGGGGCGGAGGACTTAGGGGGGCACACTCTGGAGATGGGAAGCCAGCCTTATTCCTCTTTGCATTTCATTTACATCCCTGGCCGTATCGACCAATCGGATTGGGAGCAAAGCCCAGGGCTTAGGAGGGGAATAAAAAGACAAAATGCCTTTGCTGCTCTCATCCCTCCCTGATAATACCCCTTCTGTTTTTCTTTTCTCTTTTTCTCCCGTCTATAAGTAGATACTGTCCGAAATGCCAGCGGAAAAGCGACACCTCCGCTTGCTGTGTATCTCAGATAGACCGAGCGGGAGCAGGGGCTGAAAAGACAGCTTTAGCAACTGGGCCTATCTCCTCTCCTCTCCACTCCTCTCTCTGGCTGGATGGAAGCTGGAGTGGAGGGAGGCGGAGGGCTGGGTGTGTTGGTTAGTGTTTGGGAAGAGAATAGAGGGTGTGAGAGGCTTGATATACTGAGCTGGCCACAGATTTTGCAGAATCTCACTCTCTGTAAAACTTTGCCTGCAGATCCCTTTCCTAAGCATGAGAAACCTGTTTAGAGGATGTTTATGAGGTGCCACCCATCTTTGTGAAGGTTGCCAATGCCTGCTAACAAACTCCATAGCAATTGTAGCTCTCAATTGTAGTTATTCTAGAGAACTAAGTTGTAGGTTTATGTGAAATGGTAAATGTTGTTATAAGTCTTTCACTGCATATTTTCAGGAGTTTTAAACACCTCCTAATCAAATGAGATTTTTCCTCTCAGCTCACGGGTGTGTATTGGGTAGAATTAGGCCCATTAGTGTCAGTCTGTGTTGACTTGATGTCCTGATTGACTTGTCTTAGGTTTTTGTTTGCTATCACTCTAGATGTGTGTTTCTCAGTGTGTGGTAGCTTCTGTTTGTTTGCATGGTTTACTGAGTTTATTTGTCCAGATGTTTGTAGTATTCTCTGTTGTGTTCCTGTTTGTATCTGGGTCGATATTTGTGTCTATTCTGTCAAAATGGTTGGCCAGAAGTGTTTTTTTGTGGTTTCTAGTTTTTTTTTTTTTCTCCTGAATTTAAGACTGAGCTATTGTCTTGTTGCTCGTGTCTTTGTGTAGGCGCACCCAGACGATTGTGCGAACACTGGACCCAGTGCTGGCACGACTGCTGATACAGAGCTTATTGAAAGTGATTGTTGTTGCACAGATGAAAGTTCATCTCAATTGGGGTCTTCAGTAAAGCATTCAGACATAGAAAGGGTCCTTTACCTGAGCAGCCAGACGCATGAGATAGATAAGGTCACCTTAGGACCCCGTGTGGACCCCCCTCCCCCACAGCATCCTCACCCTCCTCAGACGGGACAACCTCAACCATGCAGAAAAACAAAGCAAACAATGGAGGCAGATATGTAAGGGATTAGAGGTCAGAGGGATGGGAAATGCAACATCTCCATTTCCAGGATCAATCTTCAATCACTTGTTAATCTCCGGCCCCAGGCCCTGCATACCTCCAGTGGTCTCTCTGGCTGAGGTTTGGCATTGCCAGGCTGTGTGAGCTGGTGCTCCTGCTGGGTGTGGGGTGTTGATAGGATAGTGGGGGGTGGGGTTATAACCTGATTGTGGGGATAAATGAAGAAGCAAAGGGATGGGAGTCGTTGCTGTTCTACCCAAACCTCTCCTAAATCTTCACTGATAGATTTATAAAGTCATTCGTGATAAAGCTTGTCTCTGTAATGTGAATGCAAAAATGTGTAAAGTTTGTAATAATCTGTAAATTTGTAAACGCGGAATAACTTTTTTTTAGTCCTTCTGAGCAAGCGGAACATCATCCCCAAGTTCCTGTTGTTATCTTGTGTACACACATTTGTTTATTTGATACAGCCCCTCTCCACTAGCGCTCTTCAGTATATCAAAGACAGCAGTACAGAGCGCAAATTGAAAATGGCTACCATGGAGAAAGGTCTCTCTCTGCTTTTACTGGGAAGAGGCAGAAAAAGGCCCATTCTCCGCTCTCTTCTTAGATCTATTTAAATAATTGAGGAGTAAACTGACAAATTAGGCACCTTTATGGATGCCCCTGGGCTTTCTCTTGGGTATTTCAGTCCCCCCCCCCCCCCCCCTACAAGAGAGTGCCACCAGCCACAGGATAATATCTCTGTGTGCTTTGAGGGGGGGGGGGGGAGTGGACCAGGAGGAGTTTCGCCAATCAAGCGGGCCACACTTCCTCCCCCAGGTTCTAATTTTGTGCCACATTAAAAAGCTCGGCCTCCATTTAGGACACAGAGAAGCATTTTCATAATTTGCCGGGTCTCTCGACTAGCTCGGGGTGCCTTTTTTCCTCTCTCCTCCCTCTCTCGCTCCCGTTCCGTGTCTGAATGGAAGGCCTGGGGAGGGAGATGGGTAATTCATTCGCCTCCTTTCAACCAACCAGCTTCAGTTCTGCATAATGTTGCTGCTAGGTGTGTATAGCAGCTAATATTTATCTCCCTAATAATTCTCTTATTAGACCTGAATATTATTTGCCATATAAAAGCTAACACTGCTCATTGTCAGCTCCATAAAAATTGTGTCATTCACATTTTTGTTGTCACATTAAATCTAATTCATATGTATGTATATAGCCTTTTTATAGTGGATCTAATCTTTGACCATGCAGCTATACATCTGTGATGCTTACATTGATACAATCTGAGATGTAGTATACACTACATAATCTAGGTTGAAGTTGTTTCCTCTCCTATTGCTGACACCCTCCATTTGTTCACTGCAGCATGCGTAAGCATCGATTCATATGTGATTGGTCACATAATTCACAGTCTCAGGGGGCATTTCATCGCTGACAGACGAGCTAATCTAAAATCCCCCAATTTACAAACGAAAATCCCACCATCCAATTGAGCTAATAGAGGGACTTGAATGGGATAATAAGATGTGGTGTAATACTGTGTAAAAAGCCTGTAATGTTGTGTTGGTGTAAGAGCCTGTGTGACTTGATGTTTGACTGTTTGCAGTGATTACAGAGGCCTGCGGGCCTGGCGGCGGCTCCGCGGCTGGGACAGGGAGCTTCTCCCTGGGCAAGGAGATACGCCTGTCTGCCCCTTCTGCTGGAGCTACGGGAACCAGGATGTCAGGAGGGAGAGTGCTCCCTGTGAGCTCTCTCTTTCTCTCTCTTTCACTCTGTCTGTCTCTCGTTCCCGCTCTCGCTGTGTCTGTACTATTGCAGTGCTTGCAGATGTGCACAAACAAGGGAGGATTAAAGCAAAACGAATCTAAACAGACAAATGGAATTAGAGTGATGGGTGTCGGTGGGCTGGTTCACAGTGATAAACATAATGACACTGTATGTGTGTGCGAGTGTGTTCCTGTGTCTAGGGGATTATCAGTGGTTAGGTGTGTGGTGTGTATGGCTGGGTGACTGCTTCTGGGTGTCTTTGTGTGTTTGCCTATCTGTCTATGTTTTTGTAATTATGTGTGTGTATATTTACTCGCTCTACTTGTGTGTGTGATAAATGTGTTATTTTCCCTTTCCTCACAAAAACAAGTTTCTGCGCCCTCTGCATGCGTGTGGATATGTTTCTCTGTTTTCCTGTTGGTTCGGGTCACAGTTTCTTCCTGTCATTCATGGTGTTTGTTTGTATACCGTGTGTACCAGAGCTGTTCCCTAAGCCTGTATGTCTCTACCGGACACACACAAAAAAACTCTCCCTCAAATATTGACATATGCCCAGAAAAATGAGAGGTTTGTGGAATAGGAATATAATCCTTCATGGAGCTGTGCAGTTTATGTGCGGATACTGACTGTAGACTTGTTTTCTTGTGGTAGGGGTCTGTGTGTTTGTGTGCTGAGGAGGTTAGGAGTGTAGAAGGAGCCAGCAGGGGGGCGAGTGATCAACAGTCTGGGGCTCCCCTGCCGAGGGGCTCTGAGATTATGGCTAAACCCTGCCCTGCCAGATGGGCAGCACACATCCCCAACATCGCACACCAGCACCTTTAGGACTGCAAATCGCCCTGCCCCCCTTCCTCTGTGGAACCATGGACTCACTGGTACGCTTCTAAACAGACTAATAGGTCAATAAAACATGACCAACTACAACTCTGAAGTCCACAGCCTCATGCATTTAAAAGAGACCCTTAATTGTTATATTAAAAACTTCCCTAACACATCCAAACCTTAGCTTGAAATGTACCATGACATTTTTCTTCATAACATCCATGTTGGTGAATGTATCATCAATCATGTCTTCTCAGGACCACAGAAGATGGCGGCCGGAGACGCAACATGTGATGAGGCACTCTTCAAAGTGTCAGCTAGTGCACAGAATGGCCAGTCAGCAGGTTCAAGGGTATCGGTAATGAAAGTTTTACAGGTTGTTTTGATGTGCTGTATTTCAGAGCCACAGGCAAGACTGAAATGATAGTGTGTGAGTGTGTGTGTGTGTTTGCAGGAACGTGTGTGTGGGTATACTGGTGGCTCAGGAATCAGCAGTGTGTTGATTGCCTCC